CCCGATGCTGAAGAGCAGAAGCAGAAGAAGGGTGCACAGCAAAGGTGGATCCTTGCGGATCCGGATGGATACGAGGAGGGATTGAGTCAAGAGCGGGCTTCTGTTGTTGTTGATAAGGAGAACGGGAAGACGGTCATTGTGAAGATGGAGAAGCATGGTGGTTGGGCTGTGGACAGTGATGATCTGCGCCAGCTTGTGGATGTTTCTGCTCAGAGATGGGATGAAATGAAGCGGATACTAGATCAATGCTGATCGAATTGATATGCAATACAAATGAATGATACCACTACAATTACATCTTGCCATTTTGCTTTTAAATAGAGCTATGTTGACGATCCACAAAATGATCGATTTCAGCTAATCTATTTGTTCTGTCAGACTCCATCGAGGACATCGCTAATTTGCTGATTTCTTGTTCATCATGCTGCGTCGCCTTCTTTTCAATGGCGGTTCGTCGCCCCTGCTGACATCCCTGGAAACAGACACCTCTCCATCTTCTTCCTCTGTGGAAGTTGTCGGCAAACTTGTCTGGGGTTCACGTTTGGACTTGCGAGGAATTGATACGGAGAAGGAGATCAGGTCCGAACTGTCACGGTCCTTTTTAGGCTTCTTCGTTTTGGAATCACGCCCGCCTTCTTCGGATGGTTTCTTTTTGGATTTGGAGTCATCGATTTTCTCTTCTTTGGTTTTCTTGTCCTGTGTTGTGCTCTCGTCTTTTGATGCACGCAGGTAATCACCCGAGAAAATGCGCCAAAAGAGGCTCTTCTGATCTTCAGAAGGCTTGTCCTCGGCTTCATCATGCTTCTTTTCCTCTTCAATTTCTACCTCCTCGGCATCAGAGAAGTCCCACATTGTGTTAACCTCTCCTCGAATAAGTGCAGTACCCCAAAGCGATATTAGAACGCCCGGTACCAGGTAAAGAAGAGCTGGTTGGGCATGATTCGAATATTGCATGGCAAGGAGGGTGGTAACCATCCCAACAACATAACCGAATATACTAGCTTTGAAGTAAATCTTTGGGAAACGCCGGGCATCGTGATAGGGAGGCTGAAGTTCCGGCTGGGGTGGTTTGACCGACGGCGCCCAGAACCGCTCTCCCCAAGCGCCAGTTGCCGACTGATACTCAGGCTTGACGGTTGCCTGGTCTGACCCTGCAGTACGTACCATTTGAGCACCTTTCCGCTGGTAATAGAGGAATAGATCGAAGCGAAGTGCCAGCCCAACCATCATTCCCGGAATGACAATGTCGCCTAGTCCAAGCATAGCCAATGGCACGGAGCCAGGAGCATCGCGAGAGGTGGGCGGGCGAGGGAACAGGAGCTTGATAGGTACATCCAACTTGGTTGCAACGGTTACCATCAACGGTGTGAAGAAGACAAAGTAGATATCGTAGAAAAATAAGGATCCCATGATGAGAGTTCCTGTCCAGAACGTGGAGGGAGACATGAATTGGAGGGTGCCATAGCAGAAGCAGAAACCGAGGAAGTTGGTCAACCACCATGGGTTTTCCACAAATGCAAAGTATCCTACAGCGGATAATGCAAAGACTCCGCTGATGATGTCAAGGAGACCAACGAGGCATTTGAAGTCAAATAAACCACGTACGTGAGCTCGCACCTTGAGACGCTGGTAAGAAACATTTCGGCACTTCCAAAGCAGTCCTAGTACCATACCTGGGAGTGGCACTTGGCCCAAAATCCCAGGAAGAGGTGAATGCCGGACGGAGTTTGACTTGGCTGGATGGTCCTCAGATGCCATGAAAAGGCGTTCGGACTGTTTCGCTTTCCACAATTGTCCACTTTGACGATAATATCTAGGAAACATAAAAGAACGAATCATCAACAGCGCATCCTTCAGGAATGCAAAAGCAAAGAAGAGTCCCATTTGAGAGAAGTAGAAGCTAAGGATCTTGTTCAAGATGGCTGGATCTTCCAGCCATTTGATCACCAAGTATAAGCCACCGAGAGTGAGCCCCGCAGTCAACGGGAATACCAGGGCATCTGATGGCTCAAGCCCTTCCATCTTCTGCAAAGGGCCATGTCCCTCTTCATCGTCCGTGTCATATTCATCTTTGTCCTTGTCGGCTTTTTTCTTCGGAGGTTTGGCGGCGGAGGAAGGTCTTGTCAAAGATGCATGTGCGCCTATCCAAATTGGAAAAAGAGCGGAAACAATTAGGTGTCCGTAAGTTGGAAGAAGTGGCCTCAAACTGTCGAAGTGGTAGAGGGCTTGTCCGAGAAGCTCGGCGACAGGGCTAACGTCGGCCATGGTGGACAGAAAATTGTAGACTGTAAGCACAGAGCAAATGACAGTGGATTGAAGCCAATAAACAAAACAAAAAGAATGAATCAGACCATAATGGCCACAAAGGGTTAGTAGTGTGGGTGATTCTTTAAGGTAACCTGTTAAACCTTACAGGGAAGCTTCCTGGTGCACGGAGGGGCTTAGTGACCACAGTATAATTTAATTCACCGCTTTCCGCTCACATCTACATAATCTCCAAGGCTGGTTTAGGTAGTTTGTTCACATTATCATTCATCTCGAGTTTATTTCTAAGTTCCAAAATCCCTGCAGCCTAATTCTGTAGATTCAATTATCCTCAGTGTTGTTTCTCATATCTCATAGCTGTTCTCCACTCCAGGCAGATTCGGGTAATTGAACCAGCCCTTCTCTTCGCCCTTTTACCCACTGCCATATTGTCGGCAAATATTGGCTTTGGTAACAGGCGATTGCGGCTAGCACAGGCGAATAAGCCGCTTTCATAACCGCATGGAGTGCTCTCAAATCCGATTAGCTCCTTGTGGGTTGCTGAGTAGATACGATTGTTCATATCGGCGCAGGACTCGCGTAGGCGCATGCAGCTGACCACGACCAGGTTCTCTGCAATCATCCAGATAAGCTCTGTGGGAAGATTGTGTATTGTTGCGGTTGGCGGTATAAAATCACAGTGGAGAGCCAATCCGGCACTTTGTGAAGAAGAAAGAGAGGAAGTGGGGAAAGAGAGAAACCTCGGGGTAGTCCTTGATAAAGTAATTGGGCCTTCCATGCATAGCCTCAAATGCTATGTTTGATTGTGCAATTTGAAGATTATTAGATAGCTGACACTATAGCAAGCAATCTCAAGCTGCTAAGCCTCGCCTTGAGGGCTACGCTCCCTCTGTATCCCACAAGGGTTTATGATAAATATTGCTCAGTTACCAAATATATAGTAGAGTTTCCTACGAGATTAGACGCACTAGTCTAGGGTAAACAAAAAAGTGATTGACAAGGAATAAAATAAGAGGTGTGAGTGAGAGGCTACTCTTTTTGATATGATTTATATCATACTTCGATAGTCTGATGTGAATGGTTGCAAGTACTACACGTACCAATAGTCAGCTTGGTTCCATAACACCATAAATAATATAACTATGTATCCTCTAAGTCTCTCTATCATTTATTATGACCCGCATGCAATTTCCCGTATTTTCCCTTTCTGGAACTATGATAATTGTTGTAATCATATAGATAGGGCGGTGCTGATTTTCTGCCAGACAAATTGGCCCAATGGGAATTGAGACTCACATGGTCGCTGAGCTCCTCCGTAATGTTGGTTGATCCCGCTTCTTGCAACTCTAGGCTCTGTTTTTTCGGCTCTTTTATTCACGATTCTACACTCGCATTTTCATCATGACAACCGAGGTGGCTTTTGACACGTCTATGGTAACTAGCGCTTCGTTGTTCTCTCAAGATCACTCACTAACCCATCGCAGGGCTCCTTCTCCGTGGAGCTTTACAATACCCATGCGCCCAAGGTATGAGCCCTTTCGCAGAGCTTCTAGGGAATCCTCATTGATTTTTTGCTCTTCAGACATGCAAGAACTTTGCGACCCTCGCCGAACGCGGCTACTACAACAATGTCATCTTCCATCGCATTATTCCTGATTTCATGGTCCAAACCGGCGATCCCACCGGCACCGGTCGAGGAGGTAGCTCCATCTACGGCGAGAAATTCGAGGACGAGATTCGTGGAGAGCTGAAACACACCGGCGCTGGAATTCTGAGCATGGCGAACAGTGGGCCAAATACCAATGGTAGTCAGTTCTTCATCACCCTTGCGCCAACACCCTGGCTGGACGGGAACCACACGATTTTCGGCAGGGTGAAAAGTGGCATGAGGGTGATCCAGCGTATGGGACTGGTCAAAACCGGTGCGGAGGACAAGCCAGTGGATGAGCTGAAGATCATTCGCGCTCGGGTGGTTGAAGCAGGCACACAAGAGTGAGAGTTGTGCGGTGCAGCTTGTTCCATCGGATTATGGCGGATGATCATGCACGTCAAGTATCTCCTCCCGGGGGAAAAAAAAAAGGTGTTGCCCAATTTGGGGAGTTTAGATTCCATCTGCGATACGGGTTGCAGGAACAACCTTCGGCGCGCCCGGCCCAAGTCATGCCGGGGCAGCATCTGTCTTGCTGTTGTTTCAGGGTGCTCTATGCAAGCCTTCTGGACTCTACAAACTACAATATCAGAGTGGCAGAGCAAGGTACCACTCTAATAATGAGATTATGGATGTATCACTACAAAACGAACCGCTTCCATCAAATGTCTCCATCAAGAGCAGCAGATACAGAGTGACAAGAAATCTTATCTATCACTCCCAAACGAAGTCCAGTGAAGGACAGCGTCAATGAAGACCAGGCTACCATAGTATAGTAACCCGTTCTGTGCAGAACACCGGGAGTGGTATGGAGAGAGAAAAGTGTTCTGCCGAAATTTCAGTTCATATAGCGGTGCAGCCTAACCTCTTTTGGAACTGCTGAGTAATCTGTAGCCTCCGCCCGGCATAATTTTTGCAGATTGGCTTTACTTCATTAGTTCACCCTACATCAATGTATCCTCTTCTGTCGTTAGTTAGTGACTACCTAGAAGATAGAGCAAAAGGAAAAGCGAATAATGAAGTTCCACGCCCGTATGTGCGATTCGATCACACTAATAGAAGTCGCTGCGACCATGATCTTCATTCTTCATTCTTCATCTTGATCAAGGAAATAGAAGATAGCTCCGCTCAGTGCTCCAGCAATGACACTGCCATGGTCTTCATCTTCATATTTTCTTCGTACGACTGACCGTAGCCGTCCACTCTGCAGAAGTCGAACAAACATCTGGTCGCAATTATCCCCCATTAGACGTTCCTTGGCTATTGCCAACCGTTTTTCATATTCCTCCAGAGACTGGTTTCTCTGACGTATGGGAGACTGCTCAAGTGATCCATAGGCCATCCAAACTCTAGGCTGGTGGTGAGATTCTGGCATGTTGTAGAATTGCTCTTCTTCCTGCAACAGCAACCCATCGTTCCACCAAATTGACGGACTTGCAGCAAGATAAGCATCAAAGCTTGCGGGGGCTGTATAGAGTGCATGGAGGGCGAATATGGCCCCAAAAGAGTGTCCAAACAGAGCAGACTGACAGACTGATACGCGAGGAAATATCGACGAAAATACAAAAAGGTGAACAGTGTTCGTTATGAAATTGAGGAAAGCATCTGCACCTCCATACTCCTGAGGGTTGGGCTTCCCATCCGGGGTTTTGGGCGAGTCATAATTCTCGCAGGGGGGAGTTAAATCATGGTTTCGACGAGGGCTGTAAACAGACCGCGTCAATGGGTAAGATATTCCAATGATTATTGTCGATGTTTCCTGCGGTTTACGCATTCGCCGCCGCCGGACGATATCTGTTGCTGAAAGCATCATTGCATTGCCATCCACAATGTATCTGTAGATAGTTTGAAAAGTGTTGGCCGATGATATATCCGCAATGGCATCTTCACTTACATTGCATTGGCTTTGTTGACGATTGGCTGATCTTCGGTCGATTCCCATTCCAATGGCCACGAAACTTGGATAAGATATTTCTCGTCCTGCTTGTTTACCACGAGCCAGCTCGCCATATTTTGGACATAGCAGTCCGCCTGTGCAAATGTCCACTGGTCTTGCATTGTGTGCTTCAGAACGTGAGTGATTTCGAAAGAGAGGCATAGCAATTGTTCTAAAGAACGGGTTACTTTGAAGAACGAATCCCTATGAGGCTAAAACTCAAGAAGCACCTGTCCTGGCTAATCCGGCAAGAATAACCGAATTGTGCTACCTCGGAACCGTTTAACAGTGCTAGGTGAAACATTGTTAGGTGAAAAAATTACAAGACCCAAATCCCCATGACTGCGAAGTGGGGGCAATATAATTGCATAAGACCAAATCTGATCGGAAAACCTCCGTTCCAAACAAAGGTTACTTTCCCGACTCTGTCTTAACTCCGAAAGTGAGGCCATTCTCTCCCGGTGGATATATTAACACACCCTTGGCTATCTTGGCCATCTTGGCAATTTTACAAAATACGAGGGGACGCGTCCCCCTCGTCTCAATTACCTGTTTCGGGCAGAGTTCGTTTTTCTTTTCTGGCATATGATTGATAAGATTAAGTTTGGTTTCCACTTGTAGTCCACTTTTTATATACCTAGGTAATATTCGTGGTTTAAGAGGGCTACCTACTTCTTCTAGGAAAGCCGGTGTGGGGCGAACAAGTTATGTCTTCCAATCCTTTCCAGCTATTCGGCGTATCGCTACTGCTATTGCTACTTTTGAAGGTGGTGCTGTGTAGAGTGCGGCAAGATCCGGCTTCGCTTTTGCTTTCGAGGATTAAGGCACTTTATTTAAATAATCTCTATATCCATTTGGTAAGAAATGTATATACTCTCAGTAAATACATGAGACTGCGGCCATGGCCAAGCAACAAGGGGACATGTCCATTGCAACGGCACCATCAAACAATGAGAGCAGTCAAGCTGCTGTGAATGTTCACCAGGAGGAAAACCTCGAAAAGCAACCAAGCCTTTCCAGCCTTCAACCTGGAGTCTATAGGGCTGATGTGCTTCGAAAAAGCTGGACCAAGCAAGGCTTGATCATTGTCTTTACAGGGTGTGTCTTTGAAGACAGATTACACAGCAGATTCATTTACTAATAGTTGGCCAGACTGTTTTTGTGTACATTGGCTATCAATTTCGCCGATTATTCAACCCAGGTGTATGCCGCATACACAACGAGTGCCTTCAAGCAGCACTCTGCCATGAGCGCAGCCCGGGTGGTCATGAACATTGCGCGTATCTCCGCCTATCCCGTTATTGCAAAGTTGGGAGATGTCAGTATTCTCGAGTCTTCCAACGTTTTTATCTTGCTTACCATGATGGCTAGGTTTTTGGTAGGGCTGAAATGTTCATCTTGTCCATTCTGATGTCTGTTTTGGGTTATGCCATTTGGGCAGCCTGCACGAACATTAGGCAATACATAGTAAGAGGCCTTCTCTCTTAATTCGCGAAGTAACTTACCCCGTGCTGATAATTGTTGTATTTCATAGGTTGCCGGTATCTTCGACGCTATCGGATCGACTGGATTTGCCCTCACACAACAAATCTTTGTGGCGGATATGACCTCGTTAGTCAATCGCGGTATCTGGTCAACGCTACCTGACTCTCTGACTACAATTCCCACTCTTTACCTTGGTACCATCGTCGCTCAGCGCATCCTCGATCATTCAACGTGGCGGTGGGGATGGGGCATGTGGGCGATTATCTTGCCCGTTGCATCACTACCATTGATCGGTACCATGCTGTTTTATCAATGTCGGGCACCATCTCCGGTATCTGTCTCTGAGGCATTGGGCTGGAAAACCAACGATGCCTTGTGGAAGAAGGTGTACCGATTGTTTTGGATTGAGCTTGACTTGCCAGGCGCTGTTCTCCTTGTGGCTGGATTGTCTCTCATTTTGGTTCCTTTGTCCTTGACGGGCTCTAGTAATAGTGGCGCGTGGACCAACGGGTCTTTTATCGCTATGCTGGTCCTAGGCGTCGTTTTCATAATAGCGTTTTTAGGTTGGGACACATGGTTTGCGAAGAAACCATTTGTGCCTTATCGTATGGTCAAGAACCGCACAGTGGCAGCTGCATGTCTTCTTGGGGCATTGGATTTCTTTCATTATTCAGTGTTCAGTGTCTTCTTCACAAGCTACCTTCAGGTAGCTGGGAACTTCTCGCCGGGACCTGCAACCAGAATTGAGTACGATCCCCCACCCCTTTTCTTACTAGCTATGTTCGCTGCTGCCTTTTCCTCCTCGCGAGACTCACATCGAATATAGTAACTCCCTCCGTGTGGCCTTTCAGGTGGCCGGCATATTCGCGGCTTTCTTCATGAAATATACCAAGCGCTCCCAAATCTGGGTGTTAATCGGCGTTCCACTCTGCGTTCTTGGAATGGGTGTACTTCTATATCTGGTAGACATGGGAGATGGTCGCAGCGGAAATGAAGCATCTTTCGTGGCAGCCAAATCATTGATTGGTATTGGTCGTGGGTTCTACCAAACGGCTGCACAGGTCTCAGTTCAGGCCGTCGTCTCGCGGCAGGATGTTTCCGTTGTTACTGCAGTATTCTTTGCATCGATGAGTGTTGGTGGTGCAATTGGCACAAGGTAAGCAGCCACACCCAGTGTTATATTTGACTACCATCTAAACGATGCTTTCAAATAGCGTCGCCGGGGCAATATGGCGAAACACTCTCCCAAACAAGTTGCAGCAATATCTTCCTAGTGAACTGAAGGATCAAACCAGTTCTATCTTCGGATCAATTGTGGTAGCTCGAAAATATGCCATCGGTACTGAAGCTCGGGATGCCATTAATCGCAGCTACCGAGAGTCGCAAAGACTACTTGCGATTGCAGGCCTTGTTTCACTTTCATTGATGCTTATTGTGATGTTGTTCTTGAGGAACGTGAAGCTGGGTGAAGATGGAGGAACAGAAAGAGAGGCAGGAGAGAAAGATGAAGCTCATGGGGGCGTAGAGAAGGAAACTGATAAGAGTCGAATCTGAAGCATATATATTCTCGGGAGGTAACCAGGTACCTCTAAGAGAAACGGAGAAAGACTCGTGCAGCACATGCTCCAATATTCAAAATTCCGTATAATTTATTCCATTCAGGAGAAATTGAGTTGATTTCACCAAAAATATCATAGTTTTCTTTATAAATATTCCTTCAAGGTCGATTTTAAATATTTTTGTTGTCGAAGTCCTTCCAGGGCTGTTGACTGAAGTGGGGACCGGGTGACCGCCTTCACGCGCACTTCCCGCGTTTTTCTCCAATTTTTTCTTTTCTTCTTTTCCTTTCCCCCAACAACCTCAAGTTGATGGGATTTCCTGCATCGAAGCTTATGGAAAGACCGGGAATGCTTCAGTTGCATTAAATATCCCACTTCTCAACTTCATTACAGCTTGAGCTGCCAAACTTGGCTGTAATATTCGGACTTACCTGCAGCTAGGACTTGGTTCCCGATCTTACACACCATGGAAACTCTGTCAGACACGACTTGGGATGTGGTCATTGATGGGACTGGGATCTCTCAGTCCCTTCTGGCACTGTGAGTGACTCTCTTAGGGTGGTTGTGAGTTGAGCACTCACACTCCCAAGGGCCCTCTCACGATCTGGAAAGAAGGTTCTTCACATGGACTCAAACCAATATTATGGTGGTTCAGATGCAGCCTTCAGTCTTGATGAGGCCCAAGAGTGGGCAGAAAAAGTCAATAAAAGTGAGTTATCTCTTGCGTGTGGCTGGTTGTTTCATGGCTAATATGACATCGCCAAGTAGACCCAAGTACATCACTGTTCAAAGATGCCTCAATATTCAAACTTGATGCTTCTTCTCTAGTCGAGGACACAAGCACCTCTCCCAAACTTGCATCCAGCCGTGCTTACACTCTGTCCCTGTCCCCTTACCTTTTATATGCCCGTTCTCAACTAATGTCAGCGCTCGTATCCTCAAAGGTCTTTCGTCAGTTGGAGTTCATGGCTGTTGGTAGCTGGTGGATTTACGCACCTGAACAGCCGGATTCTAAAACTGGTGAGCTTGGTGCGGAAAAGGGTTTCTACCGAGTACCTGGCAACCGAGAGGATGTGTTTGCTGCAACTCATATCAGCATGAAGTCCAAGAGAACCCTCATGCGGTTATTGCGTCATATCACTAAATCCAATGCGGATGAAGCTTCAAATGAAGATGAAGATATGTCAATGCCCTTGAACGACTACCTGGCTTCCAATTTCAGTGTCCCGGAGGAACTTCACAATCCTTTGCTGTCGCTCTCCCTGTCACAGCTTTCTCGGCAGGCTACGCCCGCTAGCTATGCTGTGCCTAGGATCCAAAGACATCTGTCATCCATTGGCCATCTTGGCCCTGGGTTTGGAGCTGTGATTGCTAAGTATGGTGGTGGAGCTGAGATACTACAAGCTGCCTGTCGTGCATGCGCTGTGGGAGGAGGCGTGTATGCCCTGGACACGCAGATTAATGATTGCTTATGGCGGACAGGCTCTGAACATTCCGAACATCCTTTTCTATTGAACCTAGGCAATGAAGGGTCTGTTCAGTCGAAATATTTGTTTACCTCAAAAAAGACGTCGGATACTTCCAATGAAAGTTCGACACCCTTGGTCGAGGTTGCCCGCTCGATCAGTGTTGTGTCCGCTACTTTCCCGTCTCTTTTCCCTGTTGCAGTTGAAGGTGCTCCTGTACCTGCAACTGCAGTTCTCATGTTCCCAGGGGATACGTTGGGCAGCCCCAAATCCCCGCCGGTCTATCTCCAGGTTCATTCAAGCGATACTGGCGAGTGTCCACACCAGCAGAGTAAGTCATACCCTGTGCGGTCCTGTCTGATATGTTCCCCCACACCGCTCGCATGATGATTTTTTTCAAAAACTTATCTACATTGCCTGAACTTGCTATGTTGAAAACCTTTTCACCTGATCACGAGCACTCTCCTCAAATTTTGATTCGTCAGCAATATTGTCGTTCAAGTGGCTAATTAATTGTCACAGGTGTTATTTATTGCAGTGTGGCACTAGCTGGGCCGGAAGGTCAGGCGCTTATTGAGTCTGCCATGGATAAACTAATTCGGGCAGAGGGTCTCTCGGCTAGCGTGCTGTGGTCATTGCGATACACCCATAGCGGTCGTCTTGGCAATGGTGAGTCCCGGCATCTCACTGCCGAGGACGGAAGTCCTAACTTCTACGTTTTCCCTCCATCGAGCCTTGACTTGGCATTCGAAGACGACACCCTCGACCTTGTAAAACAGGCTTGGAAGAGAGTCGTAGGAGATGAAGTTGACGATGCCGATTTCATGATGTTTGACGATCGCGATGGCACTTCTGACCAATGATTTCGTAGCAAAGCGTTCTTTTGGATTACACCTTTGACCGTATTTTCCCACTGAAATAGTCGACAAAATTATTCTATCTATGAATCAAATACTCCTGTAAACTATGTGAGCTGTGTAGCCTTAGGTGAATAAAATGCCATCTCTGTGGCTAACGGTGACGCAAAATTAATATCGGCGCAAACCAGTTGGCAGAACGCCCCATACGTCATGTTACGGATCTGATCGTTGATATAGTCGTTGATATAGATATTCCGAATATCTATTCCTTCCAAGGTTTCTTCACCGTATTTGTCAACTAATCTGGAACAAAGCTTGCCTTCATCTCTGCACCCTTATTGATCGCAAACAAACACCTATAGCCCTCACAATGCCCCTCGATAATGTCACCAGCGGTGTGACCGGGCAGCTTCCTGCCGACAAAGTCCAATCAACAACAAGCGGCGTGGTTAAGAAAAGCGCACCAAAAAAGCTGAACCGAACGACGAAAGACCTAACCGACCCCGTCATCCCTGGTCAATTTCCCTCGGACGATGCTCCCCCAAAAGGCGAGGGCATCGACAACAATCTCTCGTTTTCATCAATATGGTCCACCATCACAACATGGTTCTCTACACTGTTCCCTCAAGCGTTCGATTACCTTGAGTCCTGCATACAGAGTCTCGTCGCCTGGCTCCTCCCTCCGCCCCGTCAAGCTGTGATGTATGAAGCTGCATTGAAGCGGCCGGCCGCATCAACCTTGATCGTTTGTCAGATGATTTGCTGTGGGATTCCTCTACTGGTATTCTTGGCTGGCGTGTTTGTCTTCGCTGCGGTATCGATACTGCTCTGGGCTGTTCTGTCGTTGCTCATTCTTGGTCCGGTGTTGTTGGTCACAAGCATGATGGGCATATCTCTGTGGGGCTGGGGTTGGATCCTATATGGTTTGGTCAAGTGGGTTGATCAGCGCTTCTTGGGTGGTATAATTGCACGCTTTTGGCTTCGTCAGACGCAATCGGAGTCAACTGAGGGAGAGGGTCAGTCCGAGGAAGAGAAAAAAGACGAGTAATGTATGCTTCTCGAGAGTTGAGAGGACATGTGATTCTGTATATACGCTTTCTGAATCATATAGCACATAAAATCGATACTGATATTGAACACCAGAGGGTACGATGTTGGTTAGATACACGTTCAAACTACCCGAAGAGACACAAACGGCACCCCAGTGAAATTCTCGGGCATCGTATAAGTGATGTTGTAAAACACGAATTCGTTGACGGAGTGATCGGTGTTGTAAGTAATCGTATAATCTGGTTGTGCGTTTGTCGAGACCTTGACGTTTAAACCAGGTAGACCTTCCAGTCCAGTTACATTGAACCCATTGTTGGCGGTGAGGCCACTGAACAAAAAGTTGAAAGAAATCGGACCTTGCGCAGACGTTGCATTTGGATATGAGATGTTCAAAGACCGAGCGGCGGCCACAGCATGAATAGACGACTCGGTGACCCAGTGTGAAATGCAGCCAATTTTATGATCGTCAATAGCCCACTGAATGACGGCAGGATTGAATTGACTGGGGTTGATACTAGGACCTCCGACAACTGTCTCGGCAACCGTTTCTGCGCCAATGGTCACATCTTTGGACATCCAAGCAGTGATATTGCGAGGATAAGCGTCGAAGGGCGGTGAGTAAGCCTGCGAAGTATACATATGCTCTCCAGGGAATTTGAGCAAATTTGCCTTTGCCTTTGCAGGCAGATACTTTACCATTTCCGGCATTGCCAGGGCGAATAGAGGGTAAAACGCAAAATCATCTTGATGAAACATCCCGAGCTTCTGCTGAGGGACAGGGGCCTGTTCGCGGCCAACAACACCCCAAATAACAGCACCAGTAAGAGATGCATACTCCTTCATATCGTAGCCATATGAACGATCCCAAGGCCCAGCAATATTCTTCAGATTTGCATTATAGAGCTGGGCAAGTTCATTCCAACTGTATTTGAGCATTTCCGGGCCATACTCCTTCAACAAACTGTCACTTGTCCCATACTGGTTCCAGAGAGCCAGTGCCCACATGGCAACGCCAGCGTACGTGGGAGAATTAAATTCAGACAATGTGTGGTGCATACTCCAGAGGTCATAAATTTCCTGTGCAAAGTTTTCACCAGCGTTGGTCAAGTTTGCATCTCCGACTCGTGCACCAACCCAGTTTTGGAGAATGGTTCGCATCAACCAGGGATTCGAGTAACAGGGGTAAGAATTGTCACCATCAACTCCTCCAACACGATACAGATCGCCCTTGGCTGCGATGTGCAAGGACCTTTCCACCTTGGAGACCGTCGCTGCTGGAAGCAGGTGGCCATAATCATTCAAGGCCACGATCCAGGCGCAGCCCACGAAATCACGAATATTTGGATCCCACTTGACGATAAATTATATTAGAAAAATAGCACATGAAGGGACAACGCGTGGACTAGACCAAGCATAATCGGCTTACTGAGCTGTATGGACCATCGTCCGGATATTTGAGCGTCCCAGGCTCCGGTTCTGAAGGCGCCTGTTGATAATCCCCATACCACTGTTTAGATGGATCAAGATATTGACCAGAGATGACATTGTCGAAGATACGGATGGCTTTTGCAACATCACCTGGTCCATTCCTGGCTAGCAATTGAGGTGCATACCAGGCTGAGTGCCGGCTATCATAGCGTCCAGGACTACTGGTTGAGGTAATCAGATAGCCGGCCTCGTCGTCCCAGTACTTGTCATTCCATTCTATGGCAGTATTAAACATTTCCACCGCATGCGATGACGCACCGAACCTGGATGACCAGCTGTCTAATGGAGCAGCAAAGACAATCCCGGCATTGTGGACGACATTGAATCCCAGAAGAACTAGTGCTAGCTTCATGACGTGTCGGAGATGTCCCGATATGGAAATGGCAGGCAAAAAGTGGCTTGCAAAGAAGCCCAGTTTATTTCACTCTACTTCCCACTATGCCCTTACCGTCTTTATACTATTTTCAATTTGGCTTTCGGCATAGCTCGTTTTGACTTTGTTAAATTGTTACTATGTAGTTTACCTTGATGATAATAGGCATTGAGATAGACTCCGGCAATTTCGCCGTGATCTCCGAATATGCCGGTTGACTTTGTGTACGGCAGTGTCTACAGTGTCGCTCTTATCTTAAACGAGCATCCGGCAATTCCTCTTCATTGCCGATTCATACCCCACCCTGAATCTCCAAGAGCTTGCCCGCTCAAAAGAAGTGGAAACAAAGAGATGATTTCACCGATAATAATAGGGGGAAAAAAAAGCCAGACAAGATAAGACTAGTTCCATTTGCTACATATACAAGACACAAAAATTACTTGAGCCACTTAAAACCGAAAGCGACAATCTGATCCTGCTGAGTCACAAACAACGCAGAAAGCGCGAGAACCCCAAAGCCAAAGGCCCACTTCGAGCGAGCAGCGAAAGTCGTATCATTGCCGTCCCGGTCAAAAGGCGGGGTGACCGGTGCCATCATCTTGTGGGCCTTCTGAACCGAGTACGGGGGATATCGGGCAGCAAGAAGCCCCTCCAACCACGAAGGCACGGCATTGATGTGTGTACGGAGATGAGAGAAAGTCAAGATACCATGCGGGCCATGATAGCGCCCTTGACCGGAGTTCCCAACACCACCGAATGGCACATCGCGACCGACTACATGGAGACAGCAGTCGTTGAATGTCACGCCACCGGACTGGGTTTCATTCAAGATGCGAGCCTTTTCGGCAGCTTGAGTAGTGAAGGCGTAGATTGCGAGTGGATGTTCCCCCGCACGTGTCCGAGAGAGAGCGGTGTCGAAGTCTGCATCGACAATGGGGAGAATTGGACCGAAAAGCTCTTCGGAGAGAAGGGAATCGCCGGGGTTGACCCCGGTGACGATCGTTGGTGCGAAATACAGACTTTGACGATCCCGCTGGCCACCATAGATGATTTTTCCGGAGGTCTTCTGGAGTAGACCGTCAAGGCGGTCGAAGTTGCGCTCGTTGATGATGTGTGTATAATACTCTGGGTTGTTGGCTTTGCCTCCTAGGAACGTGTCAAAGTGTCGACTCAAATCGGCGACAAAGCGCTCTTGGAGGCTTGGGTGGACGAGGACATGGTTCACATTCAAGCAAACCTATGTTCAGAGTCGATATTGGTTAGCTTTGGATGGCTGGGGGTAAAAAGTGGTGAGCCTACCTGTCCAGCATTCATGAATTTGGTAACGGCAATGTGTTTTGCGGCGAGATCGAGATCCGCTGACTCTGCAACAATAGCAGGACATTGACCACCCAACTCGAGTGTGACGGGGGTCAGATGCTTTGCCGCTGCTGCATGGATGATCTTGGCAATATTGGGGGATCCAGTGTAGAAAATGTGGTCAAAGCGATGTTCAAGAATGTATCCCATCTCCCGTGGACCGGCGGAAACACACCGGATCGCACTTTGGTCCATATATTGAGGGATAATTTCCATCAATACATCTTGAGTAGCACTTGCCACATCCGAGGGTTTGAGAATGACGGCACATCCAGCAGCGATCGCGGCAACCATTGGCTGCAAGAGCAGACTAACCGGGAAATTCCATGCACCGATAATCAGAGTCACACCAAGAGGTTCCTTCCGGACAGTGGTTCCTCCTAAGAAGTTGAGAGGATCGGACTTTTCCGGTCTCTCATCCTTGGTCCACTCATCCAGTTTTTTGAGAGTGCGTAGAATATCTGCCTGAGTATTACCACAATCCCCAGTGTAGGCTTCTTGATAGTGTTTATGTAGATCGGTATACAGGGCGTCACAGATGCGCTTTCTGTTGTCCTCAATCATCCACCAAGCACGTTTCAGTTGACGGCGCCTCCATTCCTTATTCTTGGTGGTGCCAGATGCAAAAGCACCCCGCACACTTTGATACGCCTGGAAAAATGTAAACAAGGGGTTTGAGTCGTATGGGCGATATTTACCTGATTAAACTCGGCCGTAGTGCTGAAACCCATGGTGAGCTTTGGGGGATGTGGAGATGCTGGGAGGAAGGGAAGATTCCATGTGGGGTTGTTTATATGCACAAGTGTTGAATCCGACTTACCGAGGACCCCTGTCCAAGACTGCAGTTTATTTTACTATTTCATAACAGTGTCGTGCATGCTCCTGAATTTACATTAATTGAGATAGCATTCTTATATTTGCGTCGCAAAATAAGCCTGGGGGTGAGATGTTTTATTAAGTTGCCAGGTTTGAGTGATGTCGAAGTGGTGGTTGCCCAAAAGACTTCACGCAGAGAAGATTTCCTTTCCCTAGATCATATCGAAGATCTGTATGTGGCTGATCTGGACATTTGCATGGAATTGGGGTGATAACGTCTAGCCCTATTACCTTGGTAGATTCTCGATTCCCCAATCCAAGCCCCTTTTACTCCGTACCTCATCAAAAAGATAAAGCCGTAAGTGGATATATACATCCCCAGCAAATAAAAATGAATCAAGAGATACGGATACCAATAAGGGAATACTTATGACCTTGGCCCGTAATATATAGGGGGAATATCCTCTCATGCGGGGTTAAACGAAGAATGACTGCAATTTCAAGAGCTCGTACAGACTGTTGGACATGTCGTGCACGACGCACAAAATGCGATGGTAATTTCCCATTAAACTGCAGCAACACTGTTCTAATTAAAAAGAAAACTTATTGGAAACCCATCCAATTTGCCGTCGTTGCACCCGTAACAATGCCCCATGCGGATACGGACTCCGTCTGGTCTGGAATGAGGAATCTTTAGCCCGAGGTGTTTGCCATGGAAGAACGGGGGTATGGTCCAAGCGAAAAGATGCACGAAAAGATACTCGAAAGAGGGAATCACTGGAGCAAGTGGATGATAGGTTATCGCTACAGCTGGAGTACATAGGCGCTGGTCGGACCTGGATGTTTTGAAACACAACTATGATCGATCTCCAGATCCATTTTGACGGTATCCAGCCCAATCACAAAGACTTGAAGCCATTTTCACAACCAAGCCCATTGTCGCCTTGGCTGAATACTATCTCTCCTGGCCAGCGATCAGATTGCGATCCTATGCTCATGTCTTATTTCGAACACATCATCTGCAGCAGCTCAACTCTCGTCGATAATGCGCATTACAATCCATATCGATACCTCATACTACTCATGGCCCTGCAGTCTGATGGGATATATCATGCCGCCCTAGCCATCGCAGCCAATACCCTCAAGCTGTCAGATCAGCGGTACCGGCTTCCGGCATTGGAGCATCACCATCGGGCGTTAAATCACCTGCGTAGTCTATTGAATAGAGACAACTGGGTGGAAAATGAGTTGGATGAGATACTCGGTCTGGTCTTGATGTTATGCTGATTCGATGTAGGATCCTCCTTGCTTCCTTGACGATGAGAATCTCTTAATTCCCTTGCAGATCTCAGATAGCAGTCGCCCTTGATGGGTCACCTATCTCAACGGGTTCCAAAATTTAATTCGGACACGAAAAGAACGCCCCGGTCGCTCATGTCATAGTCAAGATCTGGTGAGTTTCTTCAATCGATATTTCGCCTTTCATTTAGTTCTAGCCCGCACTGCGTTTCGGGTCACCCCTCCCTCATCTCATATATCGCCTCTTCTGCCGGACGGTATACTGGAAAGTTCAGACACGATTGATCCGTACGTGGGATTGAGCCCTAATCTCTTACTGATGATCGATTAAGTAGCAGAACTAGCGTGGGCTCGGGAGGATGGCAACATAAAAATCAACCGTAAAGATGTTCATCAACTCGAGACGGACCTCGATAGCCTTCAACAGAAGATACCCACAGAAAATATCGATCCTAGTATGGAGTGTGCTGCAATTGCAGAAGCGAACAGGCTTGGGGCCAGGCTTTTTCTGCACGAGATCTGTTCGACCAAAGCACCTATTAATCGCTCGGGTATCCCGACAGTGGAATCTCAAGAGAAGAATGTTTATGTTGAACGGATATTGACCTTGATGTTGGAAAAGAAGGTAAATATGCTGCGTACTGCAGTTACACCTTTATGGCATCTCTTCCTGGCAGGGTGCTGTGCTAGCAGGGAAGAGGAGAGAGTCACTGTATTACAGTTGTTTAAAGAGCTGGAGGATATTCGTCGATTTGGGGTATGTATATTCTCCTATCTCTTTCCCTGTTGGTTGACTAACATCTCACTGTTCCTCAGAACATTACCCCTGCGATTGAAGTTGTCGAAATGGTCTGGCGCCAGCGGGATCTGTCGGTGCAAGATGAAAGAAGACTTCAGAAAAAGCTCAGTACACAGCGGCAGAAAGACCCTTTCCAAGAAACCCGGTTCTCCTGGGAGCATGCCATGGTCATGTTGGGTGGTGGAAGCTCAGCTTGACTTGAGCTTCTACGTGGTAATGAAGGCTTTTGTCTATGTTCTCTTGTATATAATCTAGGGAGATGATCTCAAATTGTATAACCAGCAGCCAAACTGTGTGCTAATTGTCCGACTTCATTCAATCTCGCACCTTTTATCTGGACAAATCATAGTTTAGAAGCATGGCTTCTTTCACGTATCTGTCTACCCTTCCACCCGGTAAGGCCGCTCAACTCCATTTCCGGATCCAAGTGCGCTAGGTTATTGGCGGTGCTCTTTTGTCCAGCCCTCCATTGCCATTGACGCACGATTTCTGGGTCAAGAGTCCCCTCAAGCAAATCTGCGACATATTTTCCAACAACAGGAAGGAATTTAAATCCATGTGCCGATCCACTGGTTGCCAGGGAAAGTCTTTTATGGGTAGGATGAGGGGTGACAAGGAAATGCCGATCAGTTGTATCAGCATCCCAGCAAAGCCGTGTATAGCATAAGGGTCAGTCTGCACGCTCAGGCAGCACACGCCGCAGGTTCCGATGCATCTGGGCTTCAATCTCGAGAGGAAGGCCATCTTGAAGATCCCATTTTCTTGAGGTGGGAAGAAGTAGCCCAGCTCGAGGTTATCCATAATAGGCATCGAGGCATAGTATTTCGTTTCCGAAGGGGTGAGTTGGATATGAGCGACACTGTGACCCTTGGCAGTTAACTGGCCCTTTACGTCTAGTAGTGAAGGTGTCCAAGCTCCCGCGGCCAAAATGACCACATCCGCCTCGTGTCTCGTGCCATCCGCTGTGACGACTCCCTTGCACTCGCTGCACATTCCCCTTCGTCTTCCCCGAAATGTATTTCACCCCCTTCTGCTGAGCAGCGCCCTGCCATCCGCTCGATAGCTGTACCAGCAGCTGCCCAGCCGGCTGTTGGGTTCCACACATTGATATTCCACCCATCTAGCTTGCCCGTGACGACAGAGAAGCGAGCACGGATCTGGTCCGGCGTGAGCTTCTCAAGGCCCTGTACTCCAACGCTCTTACATGTCTCAATCGAACCCTCGACAAAGGGCCGAGACAGGTTCGCGGCGCTGAGAATCAACCGCGGACATGGTAGAGCCCACAAAACAGGGGCCATGACCGCCATGCTTTAATAGACTCAATTCCAAGACGTGCATATAACGGTTCGTTGTAGTCGCTGCGGATAATCTTGCTGATATCGGTGGAGGCTGCTTCGCACGAGGGGGTTGCGCTGTGAAAGGTGGTATGCGGTCGAAGTGCCAAAGCAACCGGCGCCAACGATGAGGATTCGCGTGTCTTTGTCCATTATGTGAGTTGAATTGCTTATGTGACTTGGTTTAACTGCTCAAACTTTGAGGGCAGCGCAGCCATATTTATTGAGACATTTCGCTCCGTCCTGTCTTCTTTCAGAAAATCTGATCTCGCTACCAGCTTCCTCACACACAATCATATGCATATTCGAGAATATCATCGTGTGCGGGGTAGAAATCTCCTGCTTCGTGACCTTCCGATAAAGATCTCAAAGCTATGGGACGGAGATTCTCCGAGTAAAGAGCTCGTTTCGACCTTCTTTTACCTCAACATCTCCCCAACTAAGAAATTGCCTAAGCGCTTAATCTTTGTTGATTCCATGGCTTTGGGATTGACAATTAAACTACACAGAGACTAACTCTAATATAGGTAACAACTATGCGAAAGATAACATATCCAATCAAACGTCTCATTTGTCACTATATTCATAACCATATCAACAACCCACATCTCCCAAGGTCCGCACACTCCCTACTCTAATAAGTATACCGGAAAAACCGTTTTTCTTTATCGGTCAGATCCGAGAATGCAACAACTTCCGATTTCTCTACATTTGACTGGGCTTCCTTGTCACGGCCGTTGTTTTCCCATCGGCAAAGAACCCCATAGGAAAGAATGGCAACTATAGCCACAACCAGACAGCCCAGCAGGTCCTCATATCCTCGCGAATACGATGGTGCATCATCGGAACGGAAACACTGGGGACCAACGATGTTTCCGATACAGGGCTGAAGAGTAGAGCGGCAAGAGGAACTTTCCAAAGAACGAAAAAGAAAAACCCCTGAAAAAACCAAAAACATACAACAGTGAGGATTCGCTGGTGGTCACCCACCCAACTACTAACTCACCGGCGTGTGGCTTAAGTACGGCTGAGCGGACGGGAAGCCCTGTTTTCCACACCCTATGGTCGTATGTATCAGGTTATGTTTAGGAGAAAATGATAGAATGCAATCAATTGAGAGTTCAGGATGAGAAAGGTGAGTGCGTGATGTGAGATTTCTACGGGAGCGGGCTGTACATCAACTACGCCAAGAAGAAGATGGCGTTCATGGCCAATTTCTTGCTATGACCGCTGGTGTTAGCCATTTGAAGCGAAGTCGACAGCACGTATTGTGCCCAATAGGCGTAGAAGATATAGTATGCTGCCAGAAGACCTTGCTGATTCTCACGTGGCAGCTTCCACATTAGGATGGCACAGACCATGGGGACTGGATTGGCCACGACGATAATATTGCAACGGGAGTTGGGCACGCTAGCAGAAATAAAGCCTAGCAGGATCTGCCACATCATTGCAAGCACACCGGTGGGATACCCAACACGGTTGTGATCAATGGGGAATAGCCCAAACCTGTCACAATAATAGCCGAAAAGGTCACCAGATCACCATTGGGTACATTTTGAGCCAGCGAAAAGAGAGCCAGAAGCCAGGTCTCGGGTTCGCTTAAGCACTCGCGCACTTGGTACCACTTGATGGTTTTGTCTTTCATGCCGGTATTGTTGTCTTTAACGCGCTCGAGGCAGACGAATTTCTCGCGATCCGAGAAATACCAGCATTGCACGGGCAAATCGGGCAAGAATATGTACAACACACCAGCCCAGAGGACAGAGAATGCACCCAACACAATGAAGAGCAACCTCCAAGGTGCCAAGGCCGTGTTTGTTTGGCCGATTCCGTAGCTGACCACGCCTGAGAAGACGGAGGAGAGCTGGTTAAATCAAAACGCGGCACGAAGTGGCTGCTCACTTGGTCTTCTACCACATGACCGTTAAAATGCTGGAGATTGGGAACACGGCGGCTTCCGTCATGCCCATCAAGAATCGCACCGTAGCCAAGCCAGCAAAGTTCTGCGTTACAGCAGTATACAGTAGCAGAATTGCTCATCCCAAGACCATGCCAGCATACAGCTTGGCCACAGGAAGTCGCTGAATGAGAAGCGCTGCAGGGTACTCAAAGGCGAGGTATCCGAAGTAGAAGATTGAGCCTACCGAAGAGTACTCATCGCCAGTCAAGTGGGTGTCTTTCTTCATGCCATAGATGGCCGCGTTCGAGATGATGACTTTATCAATAGCAGCCAAAACTACTGTAACCATGATCAAAGGAATGAGGATCAGATCGATTTTCTAAAGCACACGGCGCGCTTCGGTCTCGGTAACAGGTTCCACTGCAATGGCCGGGTCAAGCCGAGCGAGGAATTGCGCGGCAACATCTTTACCATCGGTTCAGTTTTGGGCTTCAAGTATGTCTCCTGCTTGAGTCTTTTCTTGATCAAGCGCAGGTTGAGGCTCCGGAGGGGCGACTTGTTTTTCGTCTGCCATATCTGTATTGAAATAAAGGATCGTATATAGCAGGTAGAAAGGGACATTTACACACCGAAAACGAAGGAGATAGACATTTTGGATGGTTTTATACTTCAACTGAGCATAAATGAATGTGAAAGAGAGTTACTCAGTTGGTTATCCTGAAAAGTAAGGTGAATTAGGGTTTGGGTATGACAGGAAGGTCGGAGCGACTGATAAGCGATGCATCTCCGCGTTTCTCTCCCCGCTTTGTCTCTGTATTCACCAACCGATTTGATTAGATTGTGGCGCTGGATTTTTGACAAGTTGCTTCGCTTCGACCTGCTGATTAGTCTCAATGGAGATCCATAAAGGAAGGCTTTGGTCCCTGCATTCCCAGGGCATCTGAACATATCGCACATCATGTCTGCTCAATTGGATGCTCCGAGCATCAAGATCGCCATCGGTGAGTGACTTGCAATTTCACAATTCACATGATGTAGTAAATCGCAAATACCTAACATGTCTTCCAGACCGTTGTGGTACTTTCACCGACTGTCTAGGCATTGTTGATGGTCGCGATGAGGAAATCGTCGTCAAACTGCTTTCGCAAGATCCAGCCAACTACGCCGATGCTCCGATTGAGGGCATTCGGCGTATTCTGGAGTAAGAAACAGGGAAGACCTTCCCCCGCGACCAAAATCTCACTACTGCCGATTTCTCCAATGTCAGTATCCGCATGGGTACAACAGTTGCCACCAACGCCTTGCTCGAGCGCATGGGAGAACATCATGCGCTCTTGATCACAAAGGGCTTCAAAGATGCCCTGTGTATTGGAACTCAGTCTTGCCCAAAGCTGTTTGCGCTCAACATCCAACGTCCTGATGTTTTGTATGAGGACGTTGTCGAGATTGATGAGCGTGTCACAATTGAGGACTATCAGCAGAATCCCATCCCAGACAAAGAGAGGCTGCAAAAGTCCTTGGAGTCAGATATCTCTTTGAAAAAGGGTGTTAGTGGGGAAGTGGTTCATATCTTGGAACCTCTTGACGAAGGAGGCACAAGACAAAATCCTAAGCAGCTCTATGAGAAGGGCTATCGCTCAACTGCGGTCTGTTTGGTTCACTCATACACATTCCAAGACCATGAACTTGCAATTCAGAAGATCGCAAAAGAAATCGGGTTCACCCAAATCTCCCTTTCCGGCCAACTGTTGCGTATGATTAAGATGACATCTCGCGGTGCTTCAGCTACTGCAGATGCATACTTGTCACCAGCCATTCAACATTATATTCAAGGCTTCCGCTCGGGATTTAAGGACGGACTCAGCTCTGCCGATACCTACTGCGAGTTTATGAAGAGTGATGGAGGGTTGGTAAATTTTGAAAAGTATGTTCACAATTACCCGGAATGCAAAAAAGGAATTTTGCTACTCCCTATGGATTCACTGGTCTTCGTGTGATCATGTCTGGCCTAGCAGGCGGCGTTGTGGGCTATGCAGAAACTTCCTTCGATGAGACGGATAGGAAGTCCTGCCATCGAGTGAGTCGAAATTTACCATATTTTATAAAGTTATCATCAATTAACTTTTTAGGTTCGATATGGGCGGTACTAGCACAGATGTCCCCAGATATGACGGAAAGTTGGAACACACCTTCGAGAAGACTATCTCCGGCGTGACAGTGAGGCACCCCAATTAGACATCAGCACAGTAGCCGCTGGTGGTGGTAGTATTCTTTTCTGGCGACATGGATTGTTTGCCGTTGGCCCCGAGTCTGCAAGTGCTCACCCAGGACCAGCATGTTACCGCAAGGGAGGCCCTCTAACTGTGACTGATGCCAACCTTTTCCTTGGTCGCCTTCTTCCAGCATACTTCCCTAAGATTTCGGCCCGAACGAGAACGAAGCTCTCGATGTCGAAATCACCCGAAAGAAGTTCACGGAGCTTGCAGATCAGATCAATTCTGAGGCCGGACAAAACAAATCCCCAGAAGAGATCGCGTTGGGTTTTATCCAAGTAGCCAACGAGTCTATGGCAAAGCCTATTCGAGCTCTCACAGAGGCTCGTGGGTATGATACTTCCGCGCATAACTTGGCCAGCTTTGGTGGTGCTGGAGGACAGCATGCTTGTGCCATTGCCTTTTCGTTGTCTATTGAAACTGTCATCATCCATCGATTCTCGTCTATTCTCTCCGCTTACGGCATGGCTCTTGCAGACGTTGTTCACGAGCCCCAAGAGCCAGCATCAGGAGTGCTGGACCAGACAGCTATGAAAAGCGTCACTGAGGATATCACTGCGTTGAAGTCTAAAGTCACTACCGCATTGACCACGGACGGCATTATGAGACTCAGATTCAGCATGAAATCTACCTCAATCTGCGATACCAGGGTACCGACAACTTGCTGATGGTGCTCGATCCTGAACATGGAGACTTCATTTCTGAGTTTGTCAAAGAGCACGAGCGCGAGTTTTCTTTCACATTCCCCGGTCGCAATATCCTTGTCGAAGACATCCGAGTCCGAGGCGTTGGAAAGGCAACCTCTATCACACCAGAGGCACCTCAAAAAGAACTCAAATCAGTCACCAAACAGCCCGTTGGCTCAGAGAAGCAGGATGATTCATCTTCTGTGTATTTTGCTGGCGTGCGTCGGTGAAGTCACTACGCCGGTATTCTTCCTGGATAACATGGAGCCAGGTATGTCTTGACGGTCCTGCTATGATCATTGACAAAACTCAAACTATTGTTGTTGAGCCAAATGCTACAGCTACAATTTTATCCCGGCATGTGATTTTGGATGTTCAGTCTTCTAAGAAGCAGACTGCCAATGCAACGGTCGTGGATCCTATCAGATTGTCTATCTTTGGTCATCGCTTCATGTCTGTTGCTGATCAGATGAGTCGGATGTTTCAAAAGACTTCCGTTTCAACAAACATTAAAGAGCGACTTGACTTCTCCTGTGCTGTGTTCTCTCCCAATGAAAGATTGGTTGCGAATAGACCTCTGCATAGCCTATAAAGCCCATAGCCCAACCCAACCCAACCCACTAATGGGTTGGGCTTTGGGCCCATCCACCGAGCCCATAGGGCCCTCATTATTAACCAAACAATACAAATATGCCAATTTATCGCAGCTATATAATTAATGCATTTTTCCCCTGTTTTTTGGGGGTATTGAAATTACCACTAATTGATTTTATTTTATTTATAAGATATTAAGTAATAGATACTAGGAAAGTAATAACTACATACTAGGAGGCCGAAAAATAAGAATTAAAATTGATTTTCTAAAGCTTTACTTTTTTATAAGAGGTACTTATTTTTATTAGGGGTTTATATAGTAAGTAGAGGTACTATAAGTATTACTATAATTGACCATAGAAAGTGGTATTTATCCTCTATAGATAATATATATCTCTTTATACTAATACTTAGTAATTCCTTCTAGGTACGAATCCATGGTCAAATTGGATCTTTTTGGGGTTATTTTATATGAAATTTTGGATGAAATATAGTATTATGATGCTAAAATCAATATTAAATCCACTTAATTCCTACTTCTTACTATGATAATATAATAACACTAAAGATATAGGTTGGTACCTGCGTAAAATACAGCCATTAATCATCTACTTTATATATGCCAAGACTATATTTGTGCATAGAAATGGGCTTTTGATGGGCTTTAATAGGCCCCCATTAATGGGCTGTGGGTTAGGCTGGCAAAGCCCGGCCCAACCCAAAGCCCACTATGGGTTGGGCTTTGGGCCGGGGGTCTGGGCCCATTGATGGGCTATGCAGAGGTCTAGTTGCGAATGCGCCAAATGTGCCAGTGCATCTAGGGAGTAAGTCGACCCCATTTTGAATCGATTGTTTGTTGACCAAGAGAATGCCATGCTAATTCCTTCTTCAGGTATGGAGTATGCTGTCCGATATCAGCATGAGAAACCCGGAGGCAATTTGAAGCTTGCCGATCACATTCTCACCAACCATCCTCTTGCTGGTGGAACCCATCTTCCCGATATTACTATTGTCACTCCAGTCTGGGATGGCGAGGGCAAAAACATTATCTTCTATGTTGCCTCCCGTGGTCACCATGGTAAGCATGAAACTCTTCCCCTTTACCATTCGTTTTGTCATGCTAACCAAAATCAGCTGAAATCGACGGCATCGCCCCGGGATCTATGCCTTCGAACAGCAAAATACTGTACGAGGAAGGTGCCATGACAATGGGCTTTAAGGTGGTATTCGACGGCCACTTTTATGAGGAGATAGTTTGAAGGTTCCTATATGATGAGCCCGCTTCACACCCTGGTTGCAGTAGCACCCGCACATATAACGACAATGTCTCGGATTTGAAGGCTGCCATTGCAGCAAATCACAAGGGTGCACAGCTCCTGGAAGCTCTGGTGATCGAGAACACATTGGGAGTAGTCCACTTCTACATGGACGCAATCAAGTGCAACGCAGAGGTCGCCGTCCGTGAACTGCTCAAGTCCATTAGCCACAAGAACAAGGGAGTTCCTCTCCGACTCTCTGACTTCATGGACGATGGTACCGAGATCAAGCTGGAAATCCGCATCGATTCTGAGCTTTGACTTTACAGGCACGGGCCAGGAAACATTCAACTGCCTCAATGCCCCCAAAGCGATCGCCCACTCCGCTATTGTCTACAGTTTGCGGGCGCTAATTGATGTTGAAATTCCTCTCAACTAGGGCTGTCTCGCCCGGTCAATATGATAATCCCCTCCGGCACGCTTCTCAATCCATCTGGCCATGCCGCTGTCTGCGCCGGTAATCCAATCACCTCGCAGCGTATCACAGATGTTGTTCTGGGTGCATTCAACGCCTGTGCTGCCTCCCAGGGTTGCTGCAACATCATCTCGTTTGGTATGGGTGGTGTTGACCCCAAGACCGGTGTTGAAGTGCCTAGATTCGGTGTTGGTGAGACAATCTGCGGCGGCTCCGGTGCTGGACCGTCCTGGAATGGCACGTCTGGTGACAAATACACGCATTACAGATGCTGAGGTCTACGAACTGCGGTACCCGGTTATCTTCCGCAGGTTTTGTATCCGAGATGGGTCTGGTGGCGTTGGTCGTTTTCGCGGTGGAGACGGTGTTATCCGTGAGCTGGAGTTCCGTATGCCTCTTTCGGTGTCTATGCCCAGTGAACGACGCGTCTATCGTCCGTATGGATTGGCAGGAGGCGAGTCTGGGCAAGCAGGCTTGAATCTTTATATGAAGAAGGAGCTCGATGGAACGGAGAGAGTGATCAATATTGGTGGTAAGATGGAGCTCGTGGTCCAACCTGGGGAGCGGATTCTGATTCATACGTGAGTTATTCATCTTTTTCTTCGTTCATCTGAACATATATGCTAACAATTCTTTTTTAGACCCGGAGGTGGTGGCTGGGGTAACGCATCCGACAATGAACTAGTGGAGAGTGAGAGCAAGAGCCATCAGACTCCTCGGCTTTCCAGCTATGAGGAAGTGTACATGCATTCAGTGTCGCTGCTGAGGCGGCAATGTGAGAAATAAGATATAGATGTGAATTTTCGAATCATGTAACTAGATACTATTTCTTTACTTTTTTTTTATGTTTTTTATGTTTTTTATATATTTTTAAAAAAGGAATTATGCTGTGATGTTTTTAATGAACTATTGATATTTATTCTGTGTAAATTTATAAACATATAGGCATCTATATCGTCTCGACCTCAATTCCTTGGAGAATGCCCAGCCCGCACAAAGGGATTGACATAAGCACGTCCACAAACCTCAAAACGTGGGCCAACTCATTCATCGACACCTTGATCTCCCTGGATTTGGTATGGTTTGTAGCAAACCATGCCTTTCACTCGATCTTTATTAAAGATCTCAATAATTATCTTCATTGTTACCCTAGGTCTTGTCATTTACCAAGGGTCTCGGTCTTCGTCCCTCTTCGAAGGGCAATCTGAATCACCCTATTTTGGGAGGTGGAAAACATGGTTTCCTTTATCTCAGTCTAAAGTGGCAGGCCCAAAGCAGTCTTCAAGGAAGGGATGGAACGTTATCCACCATCTGGGAGGAAATGGGCCCTGGATTGAGAACGCCGGTGAAGGTGCAGCTTCAAATCTAAAACCCCCACAGGGATGCTCAGTGGACCAGGTGCATTTAGTATGTTCCCTAACAATTTCTTACTACGCTTTTGCTAATGAAATCTAGTTATCCCGCCATGGAGAACGATATCCAACACCTTCTGCAGGGAGTAGTAGGTCAACCCATCGGTAGAGTATAAACATATTTTAATGTTTCCCAATGGCAGGACATCTCCGGTTTCTGAAGCGAGTGCAAGAGACAGGCCTACCGCTCAATGGCTCACTTGAATTCTTGAATGACTGGACCTATTTCTCAAACAACTCCGAAAGAGACTTTGGGGAGTTAACCAGCACAGGCCCTTACGCTGGAACGCTGGAAGCATTCACGACTGGTGTCAGATTCAGGACACGATATGAAAGTCTGATCCCGAAAGACAGCCGCACGCGTCTATGGGCAAGTGACTCGGGCCGTGTGATTGATACAGCTCGTCATTTCGCCTCCGGGTTCTTTGGTCTAGACTGGGAGAGCTCCGGAAAAGCGCAGCTGCAGGTTATTCCTGAATCTTTTGAAAGGGGCGCGGACACTTTGACCCCAGGTGATACATGCCTCAGGTATCTCGAAGATCCGATTCTGGGCCATGACAATGGTTTGGAAATGCTTGTGCAGTTCCAGGAAACCTACATTCCTGCAATTGCAAACCGTCTGATCCACGAGAACAATATCGGTCTAAACAACATTTCCAATGAGGAAATCTATGGTATGCAGGAGATGTGTGGGTTCGAGCTTATGGTGCGAGGAACAAGTCCATGGTGTGAAATGTTTACCAAGCAAGACTGGTATAACTTCGAGTACGCTCGTGATTTGCTACTTTATTATCGTGCAGGGCCAGGCAACCCATACGCCGGTGCGATGGGATGGCTTTGGCTGAATGCAACAACTGGACTACTTTACGAGGGACCGATAGCTGGAAGCATATTCTTGAGTTTGTAAGCCTAGCTCATCATTCGTCTCGTATGAAGAGCACTGTTGCTAATTTGATGCACAGTGTACACGATGGGGATATAGCCCCATTCCTCACAGCACTAGGGATATTCACTGGCGACAAGGAACTTCTTCCCACGACCCATATTGCCGCAAATCGTGAATGGCGCATTTCTCCCATTCTCCCCATGGGCGCAAGAGTCACACTCGAACGATTATCTTGCTCACCAAACTACGAGGATCCGTACGTCCGAATCAATATCAATGATCGGATCACTCCATTGCCTTTCTGCAAGTCAGGTCCTGGGGAGTCATGCCCTCTCAATCAGTTTTTGAAACATGTTCGTAAACAAAGGCAAGAAGTAGGGGATTTTGCAGAACGGTGTGAATTGGCAGGTGATGCTGGACATATATCATTCTTGCATCAAGATTGACTCAGTATAGTCTGTGCAGTTCACATATTAGATGAGATGTCAAGGTTGAGATTAAAATTGCATTGCAAGGAACCTGATTCGGTTATTCAATGTGAGGCTATCTCTCACAAATCAATCATCAGATAAACTGAGAAATAAAATCAGAAGAAAAGGAGAATCGTAGTTGGATTTTTCTAGTAGATATGGCCCCACGTGACCGTATCCCGGCGAACCAGTGTTTACCAAAAGTTTTGAATCCCTCGATGCCCGACGGACAAATTTACCCTTTTGTGCATTCATCTCGCAGAACATCCCTTTATTGAGCTCTCACTTCTTCGCATCTCTTGACACTCCATATTCACCCAATCCCTTGACCGCATCCCATCTACCGTCATGGAGTATCACTCCGTCCCACCGGAGGAACGCGCCAGAGATGAGGATGGCAACCTCCTCCCTTGGGGTTATGTTTACAAAGAGTATGTTCGATGAGATTTACAAATCCTCTCCTATCAAAGCTAACCAAATGTTTTCCAGTGAATCTCGCAACCCTCGACGACCACCCGAAGAATCAGGACCCTTTGGCAAGAGAAGAAATGCTCGATACGATAATGCCCGCTCACGAACACGGACTGGAACACCAGCAAAGCGCGAGAACCCCAATGTCGCCGAGTTCGGTCGGCTATTTTCACAGCAACAGCAGGACGAGGAGAAAGCACACGGCTTGCCCAAGTCATCATCGTCATCCAGTCTTGACAACCAACGGAAGCAAACAGAAAAGGTCGCTACCGAATGCATACTCTACGGATACAAAAACAAGGACAACGAGTGGAAGGTGATCGACAAATACGAGCGCATCTCCCAGGGTATGATCTGCGAAGATTACCCTCGCAACGACCCGACTTCAGCGAGCCACTACACTCAGCTATTGAGCGGAAGCGACGTCGTCATCCGGAACTTGTCAGCTGATGCGAATCGCAAGTCGAAGCGCTACGCCGGTGGCTACCACTGGATCAAAGTCACCTACGACTCGACCCAGTCCGCAGACCGCGCGTGCTTCTATTCACCACAGGAAATCGATGGACACCTAGTTTTCTGCGAGCTATACAATGGCCACGGCCCAGCCGAAGACGCCCCAATCCCTGCAGACTCTGCCGCGAGCAGTCGGGTTCGCAATAAAGCACCACGCACCTTGACCACCTCGCACTCGACCGCCTTCCTCTCCAACTCCAGCAAAGACCAGGACCGCATGACATTGCCTCGGTCCTTTGCCATGAATAACCTTTCCAGTGTACCGGATATGCCAGAGGACGAAGGGCACTCGGTCGACTCCTCGACGATCGCTGGTACCTCCAACGATACAATTACATCCACTGCAACCTCTGCAACTGCCACTGCCACACCCTCGTTCCAGCAAGGCAGTTTCAATACAACTACTTCAGCGTCCACATGGACGACAGGAGCTTCGTCCAGTAACGATCGCACCTCAGTCCACCAGCGCCGAGCTCCCGCTCAGGCCGAAACTACCCACGACAACGAATTCATGACGCATATTCCAACGGTCCGCCGTACCAAGCTGCGCCCCATGCTTGAGGCACTCCCTCCACAGCCAACCATGACTGAGCGCATCCTCCGCTCAATTCCCATCCTGAGCTGGTTTACAGGTGACATCGTGGGCGAGGGCCCGCTGCTCCGCGAGGACGGCACATTTGATTCGGAAAAATCCGGCCTTTACTGGAGGTTCTGGCATACGTTCGATTATTTCCTGAGAACGGATATGTGCGGACTGAAGGAGGATAGTTGAGGCGACTTGAAGACCATCGAGCACTATGGAAATGGAATACCTTTTCGTCTTTTATTGTTCACAATTCACTACATCATGGATCGTTCGCCACAATTGCGAAGTCTCGCGCGCGATCAACCTAGAATCCGAATCGCTACAAAGCTCGAGGGGTCAGTCCTCAACAGTACTGCGCATGTCGCGCAAGGCATGAGAGTCAATGGCTTTGTGGTAAAATGGCTCGGCCTTTGATCAATGGATAATGTGTACGATAGCTGCATCTGATGCAGACATAATGAACTGTCCTTTCAAGGGACTGCGCGCAAAATTGAATATACCGTAGAACAGTAACAAGTACAATTCCTCATACTTCTCCTTCAACAACTCGGATAAAATCCTCGAACCCTTAGGAGTAAGACTCCCTCTTTCCATCGCCAGGTGCATCAATAACCCCCGTTATAAACCCATGCATCAAGCTTGCCCACGAGGAAGAGACGAACCAGCAATCAGAAAAAGAGAGAAAACAAAAAAAGAGTCAACAAAAACAACTCTCGAACTGGAGCTTAGATTTCATTGATCATAGACGAAAGTTTTTTAAAGACTCGATTTAGTTCGCATCTAGGCGTATTTATTCCTTAGTCTCGAAGTTCTCGCCCTCGACGAGGTCGGGGATATCATCCTCATCGTCGTCCTTCTTATCACCCTGCTGCTTCTGCATGTTCTGGTAGCTCTCGGCGAGCTTGCGCAGGGAAGCGAGGGAGTCGGGGCCGAGCTGGTTGAGGATGTTGGGGACGAGCTCGGTGAGCTCCTTCTCCTCGCCGTTGCCGTACAGGGCGAAGGTGTTGGAGGGGACGGCACCGTGGACTAATGCGATGAAATGATTAGACTTTTTTTTGTTCCTTCTTGTTCTTCTTTTGTGTTGCAAAGGCTAATGTTGGTCTCGGGGTGGTTTTCTACTCACCACGGGGGTTGGCGAAGTGGATGACGTTGCCGTCCTCCTTGAACATGTTGACCTCCTCGATACCCTGGATGGGCTGGACGTTCAGCTTCTTGAGAGCGGCCTGGAGCTTCTTGTCATCGGCGCCGGAGTTGCGGACGACCTTCTTGACCTTGCGGCGGGGGGTACCCTTGCCACTGTAAAATTTGTTAGTTGGTTGGACATTTGACGGTCGAAAAAAATGTGGTTGGCTCGGTGTGGATGAGTGGGTGAATGCGGGTGGTGGGGGTGAAATGGGGATCCGAAAAGATCGAAAGGATGCGAGGATTCACAAGGCCGAGAGTCAGACTGGATTCCCCGAGCCATGCGATATCTATGTTCGGTTTCGATATTTGGGATATAGCGCCGTATGGATTCGAGAATGGAAAATCCGTAATCTGACTATCGGCTGTGTCGAATCCGGGTATTGCAGTTCGAAAATTCATTTCCTTAATAGGGAATCGAGAGGTCGGGATGAAAACAATTCTGGACTGAGAATACATACCCTGTTAAGAAGAATCATGTTAGCTATCATATTTGGCACAAAGGTCCACTTAAAACATGCAAATAAATTGCACCTGGACAGAACCCTTGAAATATGATCAAGCTCCAGGGCTATTGCAGCTCCACGTCATGAGCGTCATGACCAAGATCATATCTCAAGCTCAAAAATCCTTGAAAAGAGGCAGAAACGTACCGATGCGAACGCTCGCCTGCATTCTAGCCAACTTTGCCTGATCCATGATGAAGTCTGGAGGGGTGATCGCCTGGCGCGGGATTAGCTGGTAATTCGGTGTCAAGAATTTGAAGAAATGTAGAATTGTTCAAGTATTTCAACAATTACATATAAATTTGGCGTACCGTTAAAAAAGAGTTGAGGGGGAGATGGTAAGAGGGAACGTGAAGTGGAAGTGGGTGGAATGATGATGCATCCCCAAGAGTTTTGTGTGGGGAGTTTGAGAATATTCGCTAATACGCCGATTTGGGTTAACGGGCTGTTTTTTGGTTTAATGTCTACACTTTGATATGTTTTATAAATTAATTCTATTGTAATATAATCTATTCGAGGTTCTTCTTTGGTGATTTTGGTTATTCGTCAAGTTGCCAGCGTTGGATTGTGGGATATTGGATGCTCGGCTAAACCCTAATCGGGCCGAGGGGGAGATCGAGATATATACTTCATACTTCATCGATCTATGTTGATATTACTTTTATATGTTTCAAGATCCTTCAATACTGAATAACCTTGGTATATACCCCAAACCAGAATCACCGATGGACACAGTTTCATTCCCATCCTAACCACTAACCACTAACCATTAACCCTCTCCGTCTCTATCTCAATCTGCTTCTTCTCCCAATTACTAAAATACTTACGCCAAGGATGCTTCTCCTGAAATCTAAGAAGCTTCTTGATCTTCGCATTAGAAAACGGCGCCTCAAACTCCTCCATCTCGCGCGTGATAGGTATATCCGGGAACTGCGACTTCAAAAAGTCCTTTGTCGGACTAAGATTGGTAATATGATCATTAGTAGCATTGAAGACCTGAAACCCAAGCCCATCAGTCCGCAATGCCGCCTCACACATCCCTCCCAGATCCCGCGCATCAATGTACGACCATCCATGCACCTTCCACATGGTCGGCTCATGCACATAGCTGTAGAAGATATCTTGATTGTACTCCTCGGGCTCGATGACACGCCCAATGCGCAGGATGTAGATATCCACCCCGAAGCGCGCCGCAAAACCCCGCGCAATGCGCTCACCGCACAGCTTCGCGATCGCGTACGTATCCGTCGGGTTGACGTCCAGGTCTTCGTGGATCGGGAATGAGGGGAAGTTGGTATCGCCCTGCGCGAAAGATACCCCGTACACTGTTACGCTGCTAGCGATGATGATCTTCCGGATCCCTAGCTTGCACCCCGCCTCGACGATGTTGTAAGTGCCCTGCGTGTTCGAGCGGAAGGTCTCGTTGTCTGGTACGAGCATGTTGCGCGCGTAGCCTGCGAGGTGGATTACGGCGTCTGGGCGTGGCGGGAGGCCTTCCGGGAAGGGCTCGCGGAGTGTCCATTGGCCGGATAGGGCATTGAATACTTGGCCGCTGTCGGCAAGGTCGGTTTTCAGGGTGTGGACGTCTGGGTGTTCCAATGCCATTAGGTCCAGGTTCAGGATTGTGTGTCCGGCGTTGAGGAGCTCCTTGATGATGAATTGGCCTGCTTTGCCGGAGCCGCCGGTCACGACGATGTGGCCCATGCTAGTGATAGTGTCTGGCAAGACGCGGGGTTGGGGGATTGAATCTCCGCTCAAGGGATAGTTTGATTGATTCTAAGACAATCGTTTAGAATGAACAAGCTGCGCGGGCACCTATCTAGAGGCTAGGGCAGCATGACCGACATCAAAATCATCATGATGCCATTTGCCTCCATGCCCCCGGCTTCTTACAAGCGGGATAATAATAACGCGCATTGTAATATGAATTTTCAAAAGCAGAAACAAGCTAAATCGCTAGTAAAATTCCAGTCATTTCATACATTTATACATGCCTCGATGGGTTCATTTATGTTCGCTTCGAAATCTGAGTCTCGGTCCAATCCCAGAGCCTGTGAGCTAGTTGCGCGTTCTGCACAGGCGCAGTGCCACCGCTGCGGTACCCAACGGGAGTATAGTAAGCTCCATTGATAAGATTTTCCCTTTGCGTGCCAGCCGCCCAAAGAGAATTCAGGGCTCCACTAGCGACACTCCGGAAGAACATGGAGCCAGCAACAGCGACACCATAGTTCATCACCGAGTTGAGACTCTTCGTATGTCCATAGAGCCCGCTATCAACCGCACCGGGGTGCACAGCAATAGACAAAATATCAGGATGCCGGCGGGCCAGCTCGGATGCAAATAGGATATTAGCCGACTTGGAAGCGCCGTATCGCGTCCAGGTACTAGAAGCGAGCAAGCCAGGAGTAGATGTAATTTCTTCAAAGGTGGAGGGGCCAACGGCGTGAGCCACCGAACCGACAGTCACGACCCGGACATCAGGCACCTCCTCCTTAGCGCGCTGGAGATCAATGGTTTTCTGTAGGGTAGGGAGAAGTAGTTTTGTTAACAGAAAGTGACCGATATGGTTTGTGCCGAGCTGGATCTCGAAGCCCTCCTCCGTCGTGGTGGGCGGGTTGCCCATCGTGCCCGCATTTAGGATCAAGATATCTAGGCGGTCGCTATCGGACTGGAACTTGTCTGCGGCGGCGCGGATGGATTTAAAGGAAGATAGATCGAGCGCGAGGAAGCGGATATCGGCGGGGGAGGATAGCTGGCTTTGGAGCGATTCGATTGCTTCGCGCGCTTTGCTCTCGGTACGGGCGGCCATGTAGATGCGCGACGGGCGATGCTTGGCGAGTTGGAGGATAGTCTCTTTGCCTAGTCCGGCATTGCCTGGACCAATCGCAGTGTCAACGTTCTAGAAGCTGTAGATAGATAGAAAGAAGATACGTACCTCCTGTCACAAGGACGACCTTGCCGTCCAGGCTGCGAATGTCGCGCTCTGGCTGGAACGATGTCCCTAAATAGCCGAAGGTGGCCTCACTCAGAGTCGGGCCAAAGCTCGACAGTGCCTCCCGAGGATGACGCAAGCTATAGGTCGCGAAGCCACGAGTGGCTACAATATCACGGAGATCCATCTTAGATTGAAGATTATGAGGGGTTGTGGAAGTTGAAATCGGGTTAGCTTAGGGGCGGGAATTAAGTAGCCAGAGGTCAGTGGCTTGGGGCTAATGAACACCATTTCTTCTTTTCGCATGTGTACGGAGGAGTGAGAGATATGAAGGCTTCCAAGGCTTTTTCCAGATGATCTTATCAAGATTTCCTATTTCCTATTGGTCCACATGACAGGGATTTCATTTCTACATCGATTCTACACAGATGCCCAGGTGGTAACCTGAGGTTATATCTGGTATTCAAAGTAGCTACTAATCTGAAGAATGTTCAACTTAGTAAGTACACGAGTACATAAGTAATAAAGAAACAATAGATCTTCGTATGTGTCTCCGTCGATCTTGGGTATACATCACATCAGATGCCGATTTCATCACCGAGCTAGTCCAGCCCTGCAAGTCCCCCCGCAGGTTGATCCCCCTTGTACCTCTCGAGATTCCCTTTTCCTGGCCACCTGTCCTGTAGACTTTCTTCTTTTTCCTTTTCCTCGAAAGTGATCCGGCTGCAACACGAAATTCTGAACCGTTTCACTATAATCTCATCCTTATCAAACAATCTACACTTCAAGCATTAGAAAACGGTATCCAAAAGCACTAAAATGCGATTTCTTTGCTTACATGGCGGCGGCACAAATCGCGAGGTATGCGCTCAATTCAAACATACAAAGACAATACTAACCAGTTACAGATCTTCGAAATTCAAATTGGAGGCATCCGCCACATACTAGAACAAAGCGGTCACCAATTCACATTCATGAACGGAAAGATAAACGCCAAGGTCGAAGAGGGTAAGCTCTACTCCCTACACGCAGCCATCAACTGCATGAACCATCTACTAACCCAACTCCAATCTAGAACTTGAAGGCATAGTGGACGGCCCCTTCTATAACCACTACACCCGAGGTTTCTCACCCGGTTCCAGTATCCTCGAAGCCTTCGATCACACCAAGCGCTTCATCGCAGAAGAAGGCCCATTCGACGCGGTGATAGGCTTCTCACAAGGCGCGGCACTAGCAGCCTCGCTTCTAATCCACCAAAGCAAGACATACCCAGCTGAACCGTCGCTATTCCGCGCAGCGGTGTTTATCTGTGGCGCGGCGCCGTGGGAGAGTTCCGGACTGGAACATATCGCGCCGCAGCCGGATACTTATCCGATTACCATTCCGACGGCAAATATCGTTGGCAAGGCGGACACGCTGTTCTCTGAGGGCGTGAACTTATTTAAGCTTTGTGAGCCCACTAAGGCGACTTTCTATGATCATGGTTCTAAGCATATGGTTCCCTTTGATATGAAGAATACGGAGGAGATGACTAGGGTTATTAAGGAGGCTATTGCGAAGGCCGTTAGAGGTTAGCTGCGAGTAGTTGCGCGGTAATGAGATGGCAGGAATTCGAGAATACAAGGGTTCTATATGCCCCAGCTACGGAAGTGATACGCTTCTATAACTCTAACTGTGTTTTCCCACCTCGTAAGGTTGTGGGGGGCTCAATGTCGGCTAAAGGTTGGTATTATATATTGCCTCCTTTCGCTTTCTCTACAAGATTTACATAAATGCCTTCGATCTTTCTTACTACCACCTTTGAGAGTAATTATGCTGATATTGGTTGCCTCTCAGTGGCCCAAGTAGGGATTGTGGTAGGTCTGAGCAGGATGAAAGTGGATCATAGCCCAGGAAGAATTGATAGACATAAATAATAGGTACTAAGGTGATGTATGTACTCTGTTTCAGCGGAGTCAGCGGCTAATAGGAAAAACTGTCCTCAAACCCCCATTTCAGTCCAGTGAATTCCTTACGCACATGTCTAAGTTTAATGGCCAGGAAAATTGCATGAGCGCGTAACGGTAGGATGATAACGCTCAACGTGTAAATTATGTAGGTAGGTGTGATTTTTAGCACATGAGCAATGAATCAGTTGTTTGGTTGAGCGTAACTGGTCGACAATTAATACCTCTAATTTCCCGGTTGCGCCAATTCATCAATCCCTCATAATGTCCAACAAGAAGCTACAGTGACGTTCTTTAGAGTTGGCTTGGTCTAGAGTGGTGGAATTTATACCGCTCACTAGATCTCTTTAGCAGATCATCCGTTACGGAGCTATATCAGCACTTATTGTTTGTTTACTTGGGATACCCAGTATTTAAACCAGCATCATAGTCAGTTAGCGAAGTGTTCACCCTGTGATTTTGCTAATGACAATATCAAAACCCTCTCTCTATCACCGGCTAAAGCCTTAGCCTTATTAGAAACACCAATTAATATCACCAGTCGACTCAGGACTCTCTACTCATCTAGCTTACTGAAACAGCACCATGAGCAGTTACAGCATACCGAGAGTGTCACACGAGTTTTTCACAGTGAGGGATGCCTTGAGACAGCAGCCGTGATACCCGAGTTGGAAAAAATGAAGAATCTGTCACGGGAGCTACTCACACTTCTTGAACGATTAGATTCAGGAAAGAAGTCTCTTCCACGCCATATTGCCCATCAACTCACTCACCAGTGGGTCACAAGATGAGAGACATCTTGCCAGGATTGTGGAAAGAATGAACACTGCAAAGACAAACATCATCCTGCATGTACAAATTGCAGGTGTTGGACTCATGCGTGATGGCCAACGTACTATTGCCGCCAACGCAGCCAGCCTGGTCGGACCATAAGGGAGCTACTCGGTGATGGACGGGGATCGAGGATTGCGAGTCTGGTTAAAAAAAAAATCAGCCTGTGCATGGTAAGTGTCCAATAAGACAGTTCCGCAGGATATTTATTCAAACTATGTACGAATAGAAAATGGTATACTTGTTCTAGACCCGGATGATTTGAATCAGATTGGCATATCTGTTCCCAAAGGAGGAACCACTCGAATGATTACTGGGAACTTAACACGACTGCAAGGGCTTTAGATCAACGGACCAGCCGGCGAAGATGAGTAGAAGACTATCAATTGATAGGCCTATTCCACAAAGCCTTTGACCGATGGACGAACAAAACAGCCATGATAATTTTTTTCCGCTCGTGAGAAGGAAGCACGTCGTTCCAAGTTTAAAGATGAATTGCATCGATGAGTGATCGATACAAAGACCTCAGCCGAGGTATGTGTGGTGCTGAACATCCAGGAACCCTTGAAAGTAAGACAACAGCAGGGGAGCTGTGACACCTCTTGCGATGTCGATGTTGCTATTGGGTACGTCATATAGAACGAAGCTATCCAAATTCATATTTGATAGAGACAATATACGCCTTTGTCAAGGAGCATTTTGGGTGGTATTTCAGAAACTGCGAGGGAACTCAATATAGTACAGGAGGTCATACAATAAGTTTTCGCGGCATTTTGGTACTGTCATCACTAATAATATTGGTAGCATCCATGGATCCGTGGATGAGACTGCCATCCAGGTCCCCAAGTTTGCCTATGATGCATGGTGAGTTGTCTTAAAGACCAGACATATTGCTGAAGCTGCGCCACTTCAACTTTATTACTAGTGGTTTGTATTCACTCCAGTGAACCTATCATATGGAAAAGGTTCAGAGTTGAGATCCACTGTCTATGCATATTACCAAGGCTCGAGGAATACTGGAGTGCAGAACTGCAGGCCCTCGAGGGCCATTCCAATTTGGTTACATCATTGGCCGTCTCCCCCTGCGGTCAGATAGCCCTAGCCTCGCCTGAGAAAACTGTCATGCTCTGGGATGTGATGACCGGCAAAGAGAGACATGTCCTTGAACACCATTCCGATCGGGTTCTATAGTGCCATTCTCCCCTAAAGATCGGGCATCAGGCTCAAGCCTGGGTTATGAAAACACCAGAACCTGGTACACGACAACGGGCAAAGATCGACAGACGCTGGAAGACAATCTAAGGTTTTCGTGAAAGAGAAGACTATTGAGTTGCCAGCCGCCTAATATGAAATGGCATCAAATCAACCTGAAGCGGTTGGAAGGGTCCGGAAAATGTTACCTAATACGAGTGGTTACTAATAATAGCACATGTCCACGGTTCCTCGAGCAACACGCTTCTATTGGCACTGATATCAATAGGCAGCCATATAAGAATCAACGTCCTTCGGCACACTATTTTATGCACGGAGAAAATTATACAAAGGCATGGATGTACTTATGCGAAGTATGGGATACCTAATACTATCTACTATTGTACATCTCAAGGTGTAACTCCCATATTGTGCCTGTTTGCGGTAAATAAATTCCAGTTTGTGTTAAACATTAAAACTTGGAAGAACACCACCAAGCTATCTGGGCCGAATTAAGAATGAAAATGGCCCCTCGCAACCAATAAATGCCAATCGCCATAGACTTGAAAATAATTAACCTTCAAGACCCAAAGCCGGGAGCCTGCTTTGTACTGAGAACGCCACAACACGTGACTCTGGGCAAAGCCGCCTCAGCGGCAAGTCACCTTGTCAGCTTCACTCCAGACAACACCGCTAATCTTTTCCCTCCTCCGTCACTTGCCGTTGCGTTACATCCCAACCTTTATCATTCTACAATAGCTCTTCCCCCGTACCCACCATCTACGTCGATTTTAGTCCCCCAGACTCCCCCTTTGCTGCGCTTCCCCATCAAAACAGCGCAACCCCTAGTGCTTCCGCGAGTCGTCTAGACACTCCCAATATCCGGCCAATCCAAATCTAAGGTTTTCTCAAATTCTTTCACGACTTTCATAATGGCTGCCTCCGAACAACCCTACGACCCCTATATCCCCTCCGGCTCCGCTGGAACCCCCGCTGCCACCGGTCAGAATGGCAACCAGCGAACCGCCGCTTTGCAAGCAGTAAGTTAATCTTCAACGGTCTCTTCACTCCTAGCGACCATAGCCATTGAGAAAACACACAAACATCACCTGGTGGATGTGGCGTGCTTGTTGTCTTTTTGGTCTATCGGAATGCGAAGGCTGGAGCGCTTGATTCTCGAAATGGGGCTGACGTGGTATCTTTCTTCTATAGCAAATTGATGATACCGTGGGTGTGATGCGCGAGAACATCAACAAGGTCTCCCAACGTGGCGAGAACTTAGATTCTCTCCAGGACAAGACCGACAACCTCGCCGTCTCGGCCCAGGGTTTCCGCCGAGGCGCCAATCGCGTGCGCAAAGACATGTGGTGGAAGGACATGAAGATGCGCGTGTGTCTGGTCATCTGCGTGATTGTTCTTCTCATTGTCATTATTGTGCCGTCTGGTAAGCACTTTTTAGCATTCTCATACTTCTCAGCTCGCCACTAACACCACACACAGTGGTTGCCACCAAGCACTAAGCACCTCAACAGTGCGCAACTTACGACTTCTCTTTGGACATGGGATCTTGAATTTTACTGGGCTTACTGTTGTTGGGGCCGTGTGGCCTTTTCCGTTTTCTTCGCAGCCGCTAATACCTCCTGCTGTTTTTTTCTGGGCGTGTTTTCAATGACCAAATCCTCTTTGACTTTTCCATGTAACGAAACGAGATCATCCGATTTTGGGTTGTGTCGCTACATGCGACCCGGTCGACGGGTGAAGATGTACATGTTACTTCCATGACGCCGTGTTTAAGTATGCTTACCACATTGCCATTCGGGTGCTCTCTCACTACAATGAATCTCCCTTATTGTGCCTTTACACTCCCTTTTTGAATGCCCAGTCTTGCTGGGATACCTGATCAACATAAAATGTAGTTAGTGTAGAACGTTATTGTGGATACACACTCGTCCATTGAGTCTTGATCTTTGCATGAGTGAGCACAAACGGTGATGGAAGAAAGGCAACTGAATCTGGCAGTAGATTGTATGGTCTTCTCTCCAATGTTAGCTAGCTACATGTTTTATATTCCTATTTTGTACATGTAGACAAAGCTACCTAGTTAACCAGTTAACTAGTTTTCTAGGTCAGTTATTATTTGCTGACACAGGAGTCCACGTGGTTCAAGACCCATCTGGCCTGTGAAGTTCTAATTCGCCAATGAGATTATCCTGCAAGGAACCCATGATGTATCCATGTACTCCATGTCCGAATCCTTGTGCATCAGGTGTCTACTCATTATTAATCTAATTTGATTCAAATGTTCCCACCGTGGGTCTTGCTATATGAGTGCAGCAGGGCAAGTCTTGCCTGAATGCTTCGGGAATTCATCTACCGAAGGATGTTGAGTGAGAAAAAATCAGATAATACTGGGAACTCTTGGCACGAAAAGAAGTGTCCACCAATTCCCTCAACTAGACCACTTGGAGAAGCCCTCGTATATACCGTCGGCAGAAAGCGCAGAGTGCTAGATCCAGCCAGGGTGGAGGGAAGTGGATAGCGGTGACCCAAAGCAACGAGTGAGAGGAAGGGATAGGATCAGATAACTGAGACTAAACCCAAGCAGGATGACGTTTCACGATCTCCGAGCAGAAGAAGTGGGCTTCTTCGGAGGTAATACTCTCGCTTGGGGAAGTCAAGGAGATCCCAAGGTTGATATCCGAGGGAAGCGTGCGAAGATTCTTTTTTATGGTTTTTTTTTTAATTTTTTGGTCCCGGTTATAACGCCACACAATTTAATATTTTGCACTCAAGAAAAGCACTCAAGGAAAACTACTCTATGAGATATAAATTTCAAATCTGACACAAAAAAAAGAAGAAGAATGATAGGTCACTTCATGAAAACAAGTAAGAATTAAATGTCGCACGTAAAAGAAAAAGATGGAGATAAATCGCTCGCTAGAGAGGGGGGTCCACCGCCTTCTCCCCGTCATTGGGCCAAGTTATCGCTCCGAGGCCCGGCCGATCTGAAAAATATCTCTTTTGACTCAACACTTTCTCACCTTCCACCTACCTTCCACCTACTTATACATATTTGGGGCCTCTCCCACCCAGGGCCGACCGTGAGACCATTGAGGCTGCCGCATGTGCGTTGCCAGGATGATGTCCCTTCGCTCCGCTGTGCGGAGAGCTTCGTGCAAGCCCCTCCGTTCCCTCTCCGCACCGATTGCTCCTCTGCGAGTCTCAGCTGCAAAGACTGCCACTTCCCTGCGCCAGACTCGCAACTACTCCCGTTCGACGGACCCTCACCTGACCTCCACCCGCAGCACCGTCGTGCAACTGTTGAGCAATATTGGGTCTAAGCGCGAGGTCCAGCAGTACCTGTCACACTTCACCTCCGTGTCCTCTCAGCAATTCGCCGTGATTAAGGTTGGTGGTGCTATTATCACTGAGCACCTCCAGACCCTGTCATCCGCACTCGCATTCCTTAACCATGTCGGTCTGTACCCGATCGTCGTCCACGGTGCCGGCCCCCAGCTTAACCGTATGCTGGAGGCGGCTGGCGTTGAGCCCCAATTCGAAGATGGAATCCGAGTGACTGACGGTAAGACCCTGGCCCTCGCCCGCAAACTCTTCCTGGAGGAGAACATGAAGCTGGTTGAGGAACTCGAGCGCATCGGTATCCGTGCCCGTCCCATTACCGCAGGCGTCTTTTCGGCCGATTACCTCGATAAGCCCAAGTACAACCTGGTCGGTAAGATCAATGGTGTTGACAAGGCACCCATTGAGTCGGCTATTGCCGCTGGGTGTCTGCCCATCCTGACTTCCATGGCCGAGACCCCCGATGGCCAGGTGCTCAATGTCAATGCGGATGTGGCTGCCGGCGAGCTTGCTCGTGCCTTGCAGCCTCTCAAGATCGTCTACCTGGCCGAGAAGGGTGGTTTGTTCAACGGCGACACCGGTGAGAAGATCTCCGCTATCAACCTTGACGAGGAGTACGACCACCTGATGAGTCAGTGGTGGGTGCGCCACGGCACTCGCCTAAAGATCAAGGAGATGAAGGATCTCCTCAGCGATCTGCCTCGCTCGTCTAGCGTCGCCATCATTCACCCTGCTGATCTCCAGAAGGAACTCTTCACCGACTCCGGCGCTGGTACCCTGATCCGCCGCGGTAACAAGGTCCACGTGAAGACCTCTCTGTCCGACTTTGGAGACATGAAGGCTCTGAAGGAGGTGTTGGTCCGTGATCGCGAGGGTCTTGATGCCCGTGCCGTTGTTGACCGCTACGTCGAGGGCATGAAGGAGAAGGACTTCAAGATTTACTACGACGAGCCTATGGAAGCTCTGGCTGTTGTGTTGCCCCCTCAGCCCAACTCTCAAATGGCTCACTTGGCTACATTCACTATCACCAAGTCTGGTTGGTTGACTAACGTTGCCGACAACGTTTTCTCCAGCATCAAGAAGGACTTCCCCAAGCTGGCATGGACTGTCAAGGAGGACGATGAGAACCTGACCTGGTTCTTCGATAAGGCCGATGGCAGCTTGAGCCGTGACGGCCAGGTCCTGTTCTGGTACGGTGCCGAGAACGGCGAGGAAGTCAAGCAGCTGGTTCAGGAGTTCAACGCCCATGGTCGCCAGATGTTCGGTGACATTAACCTCGAGGCGCGCCTTCACCGCGCTGCTGAGGCTGCCGCCAACATTGGCAAGGGCTTTGGCGCTAGCGGTGCTTCTGTCGAGCAGAAGCGTGGGTTCTCGACCACCACCAACGCTCTGCGCATGACCCGTGCCAGGCGTCCCGCCGTTGCCGTGAACTCTTTCCGCACCTATGCCACTACCAACCCTAACCCTCCTCTTGGTGAGAAGAACATCTCTAACACCCAGCCCGCCAAAGTTGCTCTCATTGGTGCCCGTGGCTACACCGGTCAGGCCCTGATCAACCTACTGAATGCTCACCCTAACATGGATCTTCGTCACGTCTCGTCCCGCGAGCTGGCTGGTAAGAAACTCCAAGGCTACGAGAAGCGCGAGATCATCTACGAGAATCTCAGTCCTGATGATGTCCGCAAGATGTCTGCCAACGGCGACATCGACTGCTGGGTCATGGCTCTGCCCAACGGTATCTGCAAGCCTTTCGTTGATGCCGTTGACGAAGGTTCCCAGACTGGTAACGTCATTGTTGACCTGAGCGCTGATTACCGCTTCGACCCCAAGTGGACATACGGTCTTCCAGAGCTGGTTGAGCGGTCCAAGATTGCCCGGGCTACTCGTATTGCCAACCCCGGATGCTACGCCACCGCTGCCCAGCTTGGAATTGCTCCTCTTGTTCCGTTCCTTGGCGGCCAGCCCACCACCTTTGGTGTTTCTGGATACTCCGGCGCGGGTACCAAGCCCAGCCCCAAGAATGACGTGCAGTTCCTTACCAACAACCTCATCCCCTACAGTCTGACTGACCACATCCACGAGCGTGAGATCAGCGCACAGCTGGGCACCAGCATTGCGTTCATTCCTCACGTCGCGGTTTGGTTCCAGGGTATCTCCGTAAGTGCCTGCCAGCCGCTCATTGATCCTCACAATTGCTAACGTTTATATGAAGCACTCTATCAGCATTCCCCTGAAGCAGAAGATGACCTCCCGCGATATTCGTAACCTCTACCAGGATCGCTACGCTGGTGAGAAGCTCGTCAAGATTGTAGGCGAAGCCCCTCTTGTCAAAGACATTGCCGGCCGCCACGGTGTCGAGATCGGTGGATTTGCTGTCCACTCTAGCGGCGAGCGCGTGGTTGTCTGCGCTACCATTGACAACCTGTTGAAGGGTGCCGCCACCCAGTGCTTGCGTAAGTGTTCAAGCCATCTACTTCATCAGCCATGACGCTAACGAATTCAATAGAAAACATGAACTTGGCTCTGGGCTACTCCGAGTACGAGGGTATCCCTCTCGACTAAGCTTACACTGGAAGCCAGTGACGAGTAGTTATCAGATTTTGTTTGTGTGTTGTTCTTGCATGTCTTTTGTCTCATACCCCCCGTGCATCCTATACATCGCTCTGGGTTGGAGATTTCTGGGTGCTTCCTATCTATTTTCAGATCTTCCATAGTTGATTATGTCTACGCTTATACTTTTGTGTTAAAAGAGTGCGGTTTCTGTTGGTCTTGGTCCATTTCCCTAGAATTTTCCTTTCGGACGGCTCATCGTTTTTCATCCCCTTGTGCTTAACTGACTGTATATGGTTTCTCAAAGAGTCAAGAAAAGTAAATCTTTCTTTCTTCTAATGTTGGTTTTTGACCCAGTCCCATCGAGTTGTTCCATATCCCAGGACCATACGCAAGTCGATTTGACTTACTGGACGATGGGAAATGGGGATGCATTTCAAGCGACTGTCATTATAAAACAATATATCTTAATTGGAAACTTTGACCCGATCTCGTCAGTGCTGTAGCTGTTAGCGTGGACCATATGCTGGGATGCATAATATCTGTTCACCTCAGCCTCGAATGTCTTGTGCTCAGGCTGGGACTTGCACACCCTCACACATCAACCCTCTACTTTCTCCCTCTTCCTTGTATCCTCTTTTTTCTTGTAATCTTATCACCCATGTTCACCGAAGGCACCTTCATCGTACCTTTCACTCTCTTTCATCCAAGACTACCCCAGAACCGCCAACACATTACTCTGGCCCACTGGCAAACAGCTGTGATATCTTCCTCTTCAACGTCCACTCACACTGAAAAGCATTCCGCCCAATCCTGTCAAAATTCACACCACCCCTAACCCGAATCTGAAAATCCAAGCCACGTAGAGACTTGAGTGACCCTCAGGCCCTCGAGTCTACTTTCACCGCAACCATGTTCTACAGCCATGAAAGTAAGTTGAAAGGACCCTAGAGCGATCGTTATCTCAGACCAAACGCTCACCTGCTTTTCGCACTCTAGTTCTCACCTCGCCGGAGCATGGTGTCGCGACAATATGGTAAGAATACCCCAGGGCTTCCACCTATTCGCAGCCAGGACTAATAATAACCTCTCCACAGGCTAGTCGCAACTCTGGGATCCCGCTCCGTTGCTAGGAGACTGAACCGGAAAGCCATCCAGGACGTAGATGTCCCCAATGCATGCCGAGTTATCATCAATCCCGATGCACCCATGGCCCTTCGATTGCAGGGGAGCTTGCTGTAAGATCTGTCGCTCAGTAGTTTCTCCACAGGTATGCTAACGATTTGGCTGTGTTAGGTACGGTGTCTCTCGAGTGTATAATCAACAGTGTGGGTACACGCTTCTCGACACACAGGCGATGCATGACAAGATGGTCTCCAAGTTGAAGATCATCCCCGGGGAGTGAACTTGATCCCGCTGCCGGACAGACCAGGTAAGTTCCACTGATTGGTGGTATCAGTTTGCAGGATATTGGTGGAATACTAACCCCATCCCAGGCCCAGCAACCTGGTCCTACCTTATGACCTATCTTTCCTGCCCGAGACAGCTCTCCCAGGTCTTGAGATTGACTTGTCCTACTTCACTGCCACTACGGACGATAGTTCGAGCCAACTCCGTGGTCTCTGGAGCAAGTCGCCCAGTAATAGCTTGTCTGACACTTCGCAACTTTCAAGCCTGCACCTTGATCTCCCATCGGATGATATCCTGGGAGAGGGTAATATCCTAGGGATTGATGCGATCAATATGTCTGCGCAGAAGAAAGATACTTTCGGCAACATGACGGGGCTAGGGTTAGGCAATGAAGAAGGCGTACTTCTTCAACCCGACTTCGAATTTGACGAGGATGGCAATATCATCGAACTCGGTGCAAGAGAGAAGTCCCCTCATGCAAGGAAGTCCACCGTTGGTCCGAGGGAAAGCGAAGGACCGATAAACGACCAACTACGCCAGCTCGATGAAGACTCGGTAAGTACCAAACATTCATGCTGAAACCAACATAAAGAACGTCTACTGACTCTGCTCGCTAGATGCAAATTGACAACGAAGTTAGAGTAGCTGAGACCAACGACATGGTGGAGCTCGATACCCAGACCGCAGGTCCCACAATTCTCCAGACGAATGAAGGCTTGGATGGGGTTGAGGAAACAATTGAAATCGAAGCAATGAGGACCCGCCGGGTCAGGCATCCGAAGGAAATCATCTCGGACGATACCACGGCGCTTCGAAACATGACGCTGGCCCAATGGAACAATGAATACGTTACGAACATGATCCAAGCACTGAAGCAAAAGCAGCAAAATAAGATCCCAACCATTTCCAAGAAGAACGCCGCTTTCTGGGTTTTCGGTCAGGGAATCGGCTCGGTTGGAGTCGGGCTGGGAATGGACCGTGAACCTCATCCGCTCAAGCTATACTCAGGCGACGATCTGTTTGAAGCTGTTGGTGGATACCCTCAGCGAAAAGGGCGAAAGCGCAACGCAAATGATGATGAAATATCAGAGGGACGTCGTGTACGCGCGAGAGACGAACAAGCAGAGCATCTCAGCCGTGAGAACATCGACCGCCTCAACATGGAAGTTGAAGTCGGCCGTGATGCCCCTTCGAGTCTGATTGATGACCACTCGTCCCAGATGCCGTGGAACATCACCGCTTCTATTCAAAGCTCTCGGCAAAGACATCGATTCGGCAGTGTCAGCGAGCAGTCTTCTCAAGGACGTAAGCCCCGAAGCCGTCTCACCAGCGCCAGTCCGCTTGCCGGGCGCAGCTATCTCGGGGGACAAGACCGACTTAGCCTCGAGCTCCTGGGTGACTTCGGAGACGACCTAGATCTTACCCGTTATCTCGAAGGCGAGCTTGCGACAGACCGCGAGAATATCAGCACACTCTCGCCAAGCAAGCACTCTGCTCTCGAACGTGCCAAGTCAACTCTTGATCGGGAAAGCTTGAATTTCATAGAGTTCATGAAGACCAATATGGGTACCGCTAACGATGGCAACGCAGGAAACGCACAAAGCCCGAATACCAACATGTCCAGCCCGGTCGCGCCTAGACCCGGTCAGACCACATTCGCAAGTCTTCTTCCCTCTGGGAGCACGACGCGAGCTGTCGCAACTCAGGCTTTGATGAACGTTCTCACTCTCGCGACGAAGGGTGTATTGCATGTCCACCAAGACGGGTACATCGACGAGAGCACCGAGTGGGCAGTCTGCTATCGCTTTGGCGATATTTCCCTGCGACTAGCTGGAACCTGAGCATGAACCGTGCGCACTAGGTCTAAATGACGAGCACGTATAACGTCGAGGAGCACATGATCGTGGATTGTCGAAGCGCTGAAATGCAAATGGAAGGTATGAGGGGCCCTGCTCAAACATATGCGACTGGTTCCCATTTCTGCAATACAACGTCGAAAACGAAGAGATGGCTATAACGATGCATATGAACTGAACCTATTGACGCGATCTGTGCGTATTACATCACCGGAATGCGCAGGAGAAGATTTTTTATCGTGGGAAGAGTAAGAGAGAAGAAGCGAGAGAATGGTGATATGGTGCAAGTATGGGAACCTAAAGACCAAAAAGGATCTACAATGCAGTTTATCTTTATTTTTCAACGTTTATATACACCCCAATCTTACCAGGAACCTGTATGTTGTAATTGAAGCCGTACAACATAGACAGTATTGTGTATGGGATACGGGATAGTAATAATACCCGAAGATGTTTCGATCGCGAACCCTGGAAATGAACGGAACAAGTATATACGGTAGTATATAACGGAAGTATCAAGAATCATTTCCATACATATATCCATGGAGATGTATTCATATTTGTTACTATCTCTGCCCTTTTGCTTCTGCTTATTGCGTGACATTCACATACGAGAATTGTCTTCCCCACCAAATCCAATCATAGCAGTCTCTGATCCGAGTGTGCCTCGTTTGCCCTGGATTCTCCGACTCGGCGATTGATAGGGTTACAGGCTTACACCTCTTAGGACTATATGAGGGATGTTTAGTATGGTTTATAGCGGATTATCTGTCAATAGAGGGATTATTTAAGGCGTCTATTTTGGAATTGCTTTTTATTAGGCAGCTATATCAAGTATTTCTCATATGTTTCATATTACTAGGGTCCCGACCGTCGGTCTCATCCATTGGCCGATGTTTCGACCTAGACCATACCAGCTACGGATGGTAGCAAGTGATTGACGAAGTGAAAGCAAAGAAATAAATAAGTAAAACGGTGCCCATTATAATAGAATTAGAGAGATTTCCGAGATAGACTAATAGACAATTAAATATACATATAGACACATAGGTAGGTAATATACCCTCCTGTACAGGTAGTGGCACGTACCGTAAGCAGTGCTCCAAATTACGCAGGGCGCGTAACCCGCGTATTCTCCTGTCTTCGTCTTTCCATTTTCTTTTCTTCCTCTCTTCCTGACCCCTCCAACTTTACAACCTCATACGCGCCCTTACCCATTCTTTTTTCGACTTTCTTTATTGATTATTCTGGATACTGTTACTCCCCTTACTCCTCTCGTCATGGGTCGCACCGTCGACCAGGAGGTACACGCGGCGTTTGTCGAGTTTCGCGCCAAGGAAGATGACAAGGTGCGTGACTGTGTATTTCGTAATATTTCACCTTCCGTCACTAACATACGAAAACCCGTTTTGGGGTTTGTGCATGTTTAGTGTCTCTCTGTTCAGTGTATATACTGCCAACAAATTCGAGCAAAGAACACTTCGCGACAGAAACAACATCTCCTTGAATGTCCAGGTCTGCGCGGTCACCCCAACGCGCCTCAGCCTTCCCAGCCCGCCCAGGCCGCCCCTAACGGAATCGGTCCTCCCAATGGCTACCCCGGAACTCCCAATGGCCCGACAGCCACCCCAACAGGTCCAACTGGTCCTGGTACTATCCCAACTCCCAATGGCACCCTCATGACCAATGGTGTCAACCCTCATGCCACCCCGTTGCAGACCCCGCTGGGGGCCCTCCAGAACCGTGCTGCAATGGCAACCCCAGTTCCGCCCACCGGTCCTCCGTCCGCGCCGCCAAGTGCCGTGCCCTCTCGTCCGACTCCCAAGCCAAAGGCCAAAACAACAAATTCGAGCTTGCCCGCGCCCCCACTAGACGATGTGCACGCCGCTTTCGTTGAGTTCCGCGCAAAGGAAGAAGACAAGGTATGTACAGCGAAGCAAGTCGACGGCCACATACATTGGAACATACAAGCTAACAGTGCGGAATAGTGCCTGTCCGTTCAATGTATTTATTGCCAGCAAGTTCGCGCGAAGAACACTAGTCGCCAGCGACAACATCTGCTCGAATGCCCTACCTATCTCAGCGTAATGAAGGACTCGATCCCCGCCAACAATCTGCTCCACACATTCCCCGAGGGTGACGTCGCCCGATCACTTCAGATCCCCGCACCGTCGCTGGAGCTGGATTTCCGCATGAGCATCAAAATGAACCCCAAGGTATCTGTTGGACCCAGCGTCTGGGGACAAAGAGAGTGGGTCTCGTTCATTGGCGGCCAATGGGCCGGCCGATGGGGCAAGGGTATCGTTCTGGTAAGGCTAAATCCAACCTCGAATTATTCCTTGTCCAGTGTCTAACGTTCGACAACAGCCCGGTGGTCAAGATACACAGATCGTCACCAAAGATTCCACTACCAATCTTCGTGCGAGTTATATTCTTCAGACTGTCGATGAGCCACCTGCATTTATCATTGTGCGCACAGAAGGATGGTTGACAGGCGCCAAGGATGTTCTCGAGAAGGTCATCGATGCCAACATGGCAGATGGTGTCAACCCCGGCAGTTACAAGTACCGAGTCAATTTGTCCATGGAGACCGGCGATGAGCGATACACATTCTTGAACACCTTGATGTGGATCGGCAGCGGTTGTCGCAGAGGTCATGAAGGTACGCTCCTTCGATTCTTTCTTTTGTCATTGTTCCATACTAACTGGTCACGCAGTCATCTTCGATTCGTTCCGTGTCAACTAGGTCAATACCCTTGTCTACCGATGATGTCTTGTCCGTTATTCAGCGAGTTCGTGTCTTTCTAACTTCAACCTCACCTTGTGATGGGAAAACGGTGTTTCTACTTTGCCATTTCTTGATACGCGGCGCAACGTTTCTATGATTCAATTCTCCTCACCACCACGACTTTGTCCTTCTGACTGTCTTTGTTTGATTTCAAACCACGAGTATATCTGACACCTTGGTTTACCATGTGATGTGTCCGCTGCAATTAAGCTGATTTTGAGCTCTGCGATGTCTCTGCTCTTTATTTCGTGTGTCCTTTGTGGTTTTTCTTCTGATGTAATTCTTTGATGGCTATCTATATTAAAATAGTCGGCCTTGTAAGGTATTGCTAGCTTTTGAGATGTTTCTTGTTATCTTGATCTCGGCTTTTCATGCCCTATCTCCAATTCGGACTCTTCTTTTTCGAGTGAACTTTCCATCCATATTTAATATGCACTATTTCTATGTAGTCATTTTCAATGATAGGAATGAAGAGTGTTCTGGATTTGTTTAATTTCTCTTCGGTTTCGGGGTACCTTCATACAAAACATCATGTTAGTGACTGCATATATATCGTACGCTAGCTATAAAAACAGCGATGTCACTATCTCTATACATATTTAATCGTTTAAAGTATTCCTAGAGACATTCGACCTCAGAGAGATAAATGATGAAGATACCTGTTGTTCGGTTTGGAATAATATAGAACGGAATACATATATATAACCCGCTGTCATGTACAGACCGTACTTAACGCCAACGGTATATACCTGTACGTACCAGGAATATAACCTCGAATATTTCATTGAAATTTGTTGTAGATCATCATTTTTTAATATAAATTGAAGAATTAATTTAATGTTCTATTCATAAAAGCCTTGTGTATACCACTTATACAGGAACACCATACCAAACCCACAGACCATAACCCAAGGTATTATACACTCGTTCAATCAAAGCTATACGGCAGAGATGGATCAACATCCGGCATACTGAACATACCAGAGAAGCTTTCTGCACCAGTGAAAACAAACTGGTTGAAAACCAAATCATCTTCACCCCACGTAAGCGCAAACGGGTTCCCAACCGGGTTAGACAGCGGACTTCCCAACCGAGGTGAAGGGATCCTTTGAAGCGCATTGCGCTCATCGTTGAAAAACTCTTGAGAAAGACCAAGGAATTTCTGGTACAGTGTTCGTAATTGCACAAGGGGGTAGCTGAGTCCAGTTTGAGTGAGACAATCGGCGATAGCTTTCATGAGGTTGAAATCGCCAACATCGGATGTCGCGACGACGTTGCAGAATAGAACTAGGTATGCCGTCGCTGGATAGAGTAGAATAGTCCTGAGGTGCGTATTAGAGAGGTGAAAATTGGAAATATACGCTACTGGTATTGGATACTCACCAGTTCAAAAAGTTGACTGCGGTTTGCTTCTCCGCCGTGTGACACATGGATACAAGCGCTGAAAGTTCCTCACGTGCTGATTGAAGGTAGCTCTCGGTTGAGCGTGTTGGTTGGCCTGAATCGGATTGGAGGAGATATAGGATTCCGGTCATGACTGATTGATAGGCGAACTTGAGGGCCGACATTTCGGGTTGGGAGTCGAGTCCCTTCCACTCAGATGATAATAAAGCTATCTGCAATCGGTTAGAAAATTGTGCATAAAGGAAAAGGGATGTTCCTGACTCACGTTGTTCATTCTTTGCTCGATATATTGCATCTGCAGCAGCATGTATTCTCCAGTACCATACATCAAGGAGGGATTGTGGTGATTCAATGAGTTATCGGGTAGATATGAAACGACCGTATCCTGCACCCGAGCAAGATCTAGGTAAATCAAGAAATGTTCGGCCATAGGGGGGTAAGCTGGATAAAGATCGTTGAAAGTGGAGGGTAGCTGAACATCGAGAAGGCAGCGTGAAGTTCGTGACTTGAATGCATAGTTTCTGTCCATAGTGTAGCACCAAAGGAAACAGAAAAGCTCTTCCTCGCTTGCAGTTCCACATAGTACTTTTGTTTGAAGATTCAAGTCAATGCAGGTGTTACACGCGGCCTTAGTGAGCTCCACACTTAAATCGACGTCTCCAGACCCCTGGTGAAGAAATATCTAAACAAGGATTAGTTCCGTAGAGCAAGGATACAACAGCAGGATCTAGAGGCTTACCCCACATATGATTGCCTGTAATAGCGCAAGAGATGGTACTACCAGCAATGGGAT